TGAAAAATCTTTTCAAATTTAAGCTTAAAACAACAACACCTTCTAAGTGATTTTAAAAAATATCCCGTCATAAAAAGCTAGTTTAAAAGTCGAAATTGGTCTGAAGAGAAAAAACCACCCCGAGCACAAATATTCCGTTCGCTGCGTTACGAAAGTCAGAGCATTAATAGTCTATGTTAATATCCTTAGCATTGGCTGTACTTATTAGCCGCTGGTTATTGATCAAAATGAACACTTTCAAAGTGAAATTACTTTGTCGCAAACAATATTTTCGTCGCAACAAAATTTGCGACTTAGGTTGGAAAAAAAGATAGGTCATACTATAACGCAAGCTTTGCTTGTGTAAAAAGCATAAAAAATAGAGAACGGTTTAAATTTTTATCAAAATTAAAATCACAAGTTTCAGAAAGTTTTAAAAAGTTTCAAGAACTATGTGATACAAAGTGATCAATTTTTGTTTATACCACTTCCTAAAATTATAGACGGTTTTTTGAACTTAAATAGTGTTTTTCACCGCTCATTTTTGTCTAACTCAAAGTAAATTCTAGGGGGCCAAGTTTGGTATCATGAGAATTCTATCAATTCCAAAGAATGTCTCTTCCGTGTATGACTTGACTTTACGGAAATTACTCAAAAGTGTTTTCAATTACCAAAAACGTTCACAGAACCTTTCTTAACAAATCTTACAAATTAGCTGTCTCATTCACAAGTTCTGAAAATGCGTCTGCATATCCATTGTTGAAATTTCAACCATTTTTGTAATTCTTTTACTCTTATTTGTGTTTTTCTTTGATATGGAAATTCGGTGCTGAGCATAACCTAAAATCAATGCTGATACATGTAAACATCAAAATAAAGCAACATTTACAAAAAGCTATTATTTCAAAAACTGAAATGTATCAAAATCTGTTGATGAAAATAGATTACCATGGTGTTCTTGTAGCCTTTCCTTAAGGTTTTATTTAGAATGAAAAAAATTCGCTAATGGGACTAATAATTCCAAATCATGAGTTTGACAAAATATGATCAAACTTTTTAAAGCAAACACCAGGGGGATTCTTGGTTTAACATTTCTTTCGAAGATTTTAATCAAACATTATTAGAAAAAAAGAGAGTTAACAAAAAAAAACCATTGGCTTGTTTTTGAAAATTTTATCATTTGAACTTCTAAATGCATACACAAAAGTGTTAAGCCAGAAAAATTTTCAAAGGATGAAAGTTTTCAAAAACAAGTCATATATATTTTTTCGTTCCCTCTCACTACTATAGAATTTAACATAAAACTTCAGAAGTCTTTTTCGACATTTATTTAAAAGCCGTCACCTATCTTGAAAAAATGCGACAAAAGCTTAAATTTTATTCAGCTGGAAAATCTTAACTTACAAAACTAGAAGTCGTTTTTTTGCGCTGTGTACGCATTTGCAACTGAAGGGCCCATTATGCCTTTTTTAGGCAATTTTAATTGATAGGAAAAATTAATTTTCAGATTTGCTTGAACAAAAACTTTAAAAAAAAGTTACTGAAACAAACACAACACAACACAAGACTTACACTGATGAACAGAATAATTTTCACACTGAAACGTTTTTATTGATCATTTTTTCACACACTAAAAATCAATTTCATGGACTACTTAACAAAGTTTGACATAATTTCAAAAATCCCATCAAACGCGAGGAAATTATCACAGCTACACTCTATGAAAGTATCATTACTTGGTTTCAAGCACTTGCCAGTTAAGATTGGGTCTAAGCCAGTTTTCACAATCTGCACTTTTTTCCAGATTAATTCCTTCGCTTTCTTTTTAGAAAGTATTAACTAAACATAAATAACTTATTCTTTTTTTAGATACGTAATTAGCTGGTAAGTGCTTGCAAAGATGTAATGATGCTTTTATAGAGGTTATGAGATAACTATCCCACATCTATGTAAAATTTGGTTGTTGAAATTTTAACAAAACGTTGTTAAAATAGTCTTAGAAGTAATTTGTAATTTGTACATTGAAGAAATTTAAACCAAAATTACAAACTGTTACTTTCAATGTCACTATAAATTGTTAGACGCTAAAATAACTGTTTTTTTTTCGCGGTATAACACTTTTTTTAGTTCTGTAAAAAAAAACAGCTTAGAAAGTTGGACAATCTTTGTTGCAACCAAAAGGTATAATACTTCACGCGCTAAAAACAAATCGTGACTAACACGTTTCAACTCGCATAAAAAGCCTTAACAAACTTTTGAAAACAAAATGCGTTCTTGAATGAAATGCACTGTGATTTTCTTATGTACTTGATTCTTTCTTTCGTGCGTACACAGGACCCATTAACCACCCCCTCTGTTAAAAACCACCAGACATCAGTATAGCTAGCTCTAAGCAATGAATATCAATTGGAACACAGAATCTTGCTAAGGGTCAAATCATCAAGCAATTATACTTGAACTCAATTCTGAAGTCGAGACTACACTTCCATCCAAATAAAATACATCAAGGAAAATAAAAATTATGAAGAAACATCCTACATACTACCACAGGTAATCGAAAAAGCAATTAAAGCTAGCAAGAGAAGTAAAGCGCAAAGCCCCGACACTATAGCACCAATCGATGCCCACCACCTTGGTGAAATGGGTCTTTCCTACTTAACAAGTCTTATGAATGCGTCTTTAAATTTATCAATCATTCAGAACTGGAAAAATGGAGAAAATAAATTCCACTCCTTAAACCGTGAAAAATACAACATGAGGCAAAAAGTAACAGGCCCATCGCACTCTTATCTCCAGTTGCCAAGCTGCTTAAAAATTTTTTCCTTGATTAGTTTAATAACATCAAACTCTCCGACCATCAACATGGCTTTGGGTAACACAGAACGCTATTGGTTTCTTTTGACTTCACCGCCGCAGCTTTTCACACAGTGGATTACGTTTTCTTGCAACAAGACATCCAATGTTCTAACGTATCCAACAATACTTGAAGATGGATCACATATTTACAAGTACACGCTACATTTTTAAAATTTAGAGGCAAACAAAGCAAAAATATGACAAATGAAATACGGGGTTACTCAAAAACGAGTATTGTCGCTTGTCCTGTTGAAGATCTACATATCCTCTATGCCTCTCCCACCAGCAAACAACGTCAAAATTACCAGCTAAGCTGATGACATCACCATTATTACCACAGGTCTTGATGTCTCAAAATTAGAAACAAACGCTCTAACATAATTAAAAGACCTCGATGAAAAGAAACCTTAACTAACTCTCTTTTGAAAATACCACAGCAACAGTCCTCACGACTTGGACCAAAGAAGTCAAACACAAAACTAATGTCGTCATGAGAGAAAAAGTATTACTAACAAGCAACAAAGCCAAAATCTTAGACGTATCTTTTGATAATCTGTTGTCTTTTACACAGTAACATCGTGAACGAATTTAAAACGAAGAATAACCTAATAAAAAACATTCTGGTACCAACTGGGGTTGCAGTAAAGAAACACTTTGGCTTTATATGAATGTGTTCTCAATTATGGAGCTCCAGTCTGGTCGCCATCCCTTAGCAATACCAGATTGAATGACCTAGCTACAGATTCAGCAAAAAACACAGCTCTAAGAATTGCAACTGGCTGCACTACAATGAGCCCCATTGAGCATCTTCATAGCAAAAAGGAAACCTTGCCAGACAAAACACAAAAAAAAATGATGTGCAAACAATTGTTAGGCGGAGCTCACCAATCACAGAGAGCTGGCTATCACACAAAACACTTTTTAACTAAAAATCCAGAAAATTGAAACAGTCCGGCTGAAAAGTACCATAATGAAATAAAACAACTCGGCAAGATGAATCTATCTCACCATCAGATTACAAGCTTGCTGTAAAAAACATTCACCGGGTGGTAGTTATTAACTACATATACACTAACCCTGCAAAACTAACAGTCTCAACGAAACTCTATGTAGCACAGTAAAAAAAAGTCGCCTTCGTCGTATGATGTGCCTTCTTGCTCAACTGCGCTGCGGATACAGCACTCATCTCAACAGCTACTTATCGAGAATCCATAAACACACCAATATCATCTGTCTGGACTGTTTTCGCAATCCTCATGACGTACTTCACCTTTTTAACTGTATGGCCAAACCAACAACATTGACTTAAGACGACATTTGGGACCAACCTGTCGAAGTCGCTAACTGGCTTCAACTATAACATCTGGACAGGGGGGTTTTGTAGGTACGAGGTTTTTTCTCGGTTCTCCGCCGTAATTAAGAACTGCCCGCCAGAGCCGGGCACGGGAGTTTTGCTCAGCTCTCCGTATCAAAAAGTGATCCCCTAGAACGGGAGTTCACTCAGGAATGGAATTGGGGGCTTTCCCGCTCTTGGTGAAACCTGGGATCTCCACAGTCACTGTTTGACAGAAAAGAAGACGCAAAAAATCATTCTCCACAATTACGATTGTGGAGTACAGAAGATAATCGCCAAAAACGAGTTAGGGTTGCAGACGAATCAATGCTTGAGAGCAGCTGCTAACAACAACACCACCACAAAGAAATTGGCGCTGAGGAGAAAACACAAAGAAGCTGCTATTTGACAGGACGTATAAGCTCAGTAGCGTGCGTTGCTGCTAGTTACCCGCATATTGAAAGGTTTCGATTAGTCTAGATGTTTAAAAAGAAAGGTCAAGTGCCGAAGTGTTAGCATACTAGTCACAAAATAATTGATATTTTCAGGTTCCGAAAAAAATGAGTTCAAAAAAATAAGTGCCGAAAATTTCGGTCCTATGTTTTGTAACGATGATACCCTTCCCTATTTTATATTAACAATTCTTTTACTACATTTAGCTTGCTAATTTCACCCCATTTCTTCTAATCAATACAACGACAGCAAATCTTGTTTTTTTTTCGTTTTGTCATTTCAATACATACCATGAAAATTTTGAGCAAGTTGCACAGCACCCAGATACTCCTTTTCTATATTGCAGACTCAATTGCTACCTAGTGCAAGCAGCCGAAAAGAAAGTTCATGAAATCTATATTAACATTAAATCACGACATCGTGCTATCCCAAATTTGACAATAAAACAACAAATCATAAGTTTTGAGTAGGAGAAATCAAAAGCATTATGCATTTTATTTCTTCCGCTGAATTTGACACGAAGAGGTATTATCTTCGCCGTGAATGATGCTAAAACGAAGCAGAGATCAGATATGAACACTAATCATGAACTTCACTCACTTTTTAAATAATTCTTTTATTTGATTATTTCTCCAAGTATTTAGTTCATTTCAGTTAAACTAAAGAGCTTCTAATAAAAGTAACCTCCTTACAATATGGCAGATCAGTTTGACTTGAAAATAACCAGTTTGCCAAGTGTCAATAGTTTTTTTAGTGTTCTGAAATCATTTTAAAGAACTTTTGCCACTTACCGAATGTCTTTCGGTCGATTTGCTCTTGGATCTTCTCTGGTATCTTGAACTCGTAGACATACTAGTAGCCGATTTTCTAACTGGCGACTTTGATCTAGATATTGTTCTCCTTTTCACTTTAGACATATCTCCATCCAAATCTAACTGAATCCCTTGTCCTTGTGAGGGAATTCGTGAACTACTCAATCCGGTAGCATTACCGCTTCCACTGCTTCGGCTATTTTTGTTTCGTCTGACTGGCGACCCAGTTCGTCTTCTAGGGGGAGTTTTCTCCATTGTAACAACACCCGATGTATCTTTTAGAAGACGCTCTATAGATGGCGTACGTTGACGCTCAATCATTCTCAGAGGAGTAAAGTCGTTACTTATAATTTCATGTTCCCGTTTATGGGACCTTAAGTGAACAGATGCCATGGGTGATGGTGATCTATGAGTCCTTTTAGGGAAGCCAGCTCGTGCCCTAAAAACATTTTGCACGAATCTATTATCTGGTGCACCTGTTAAATAATAGTCATGACAAAAATAACACGGACGAAAACTTTCAATGACTTCACACCAATGATTTACAACCTTTTCTTCAATGAATTGCCACGCTATACTGTTCTTCAACATTAATTTCTTACCAATAATATAATCAGCTCCCGCATAACAAAAAAGCTTAAACATTTTCAATTTGTACGGAAGCTTGAAAACTTATGAGGATACAACGCACATTAGATCGACCTCGGAAGAGCGCTGTTATACCCTCAGCCGTTAGGTGGGGTATAATCTAGATAATCTATGTAATCAAAGTCTATGCTGAACGCTAACTGAGAATAGAGAAATAGGAAGATTGAGAGAACAACTTAAATTCAATTGATAAAGTTAAGTCTGATTCGAATCTGACCTCGAAATCGTAAGAGCGACAGAGACTCATAAATAACTATTGAATATGGTGTTAGGTTTAATAGGTACTTAATTTAGATCAGACATCTATATGATTACGTTAATATAATGTTACATAAGTAGGTATGTTTAACGTTTAGGCTATAAGCGATCTATGTAATGTGTTTTAGCTATACAGAGTTCTAATGGATATCCAGTATATCCGTACGGATAACATTCCCCCTTCTTTTTTTCTATATGATGAGCACATCATATGTTCTCCTGTTTTTCGGTAGCGTCCTCGTTTGGTGGAATGGAAGTTTGGGGGGGGGGGTTCGTTGCCGATGATGTCTGTGGTATTTTTGGGTGGCCGGTTCGCTGCTTTTCGCCTCTTTTGTGTGTTTAATGAGACACTTAGGGCAATCTTGTCTCTCACATTCTCTTTGGAATGTCATAGAGTTTTTTGTTGGCGAGATGGATTTGAGGATATTCATTGCGTCATTAAAACTGTCAATGAATGATTTGTCTGGTGAGCATGAAGTTCCAGTTGGTCTATCGATCACGTAACGTGAACTAATTGCTCTTTGAATGGGGCTTTGTGGTGAACTGCGTTGTGCTGACGTATTTATCTTCGAAACTAATTTGTCACTCGGGTTACTCTGTGGTGACATTGGGTGTGTGGTCGTTTTTGTCGGTGTGTACAGTGTATCATCTGGCTCGGATGTGTCGCCAATGGAAGTGATTTGGCCACCTGTCCCTTCGTTGGTTTCCTGAACCCTTAACTGCTCTGGCGTTTCGTCCGTTGTGTTAATTTCGATACATTCGATATCGGTTGACGATTCGTGTGTCGTGCATGCTGCTTGACCAATTGGTTCCGCGTTTTGATCTTGCTGGTGTTGTACTGTTATGAGACAGACCGCGTTGTCCGCAGTATTATCGTTGGTAATCGTGTTAATCGGAATTGCATTTCCGAATTTGTTTGCAAGCGCGCTTGTTTTGGTCCTTGTGGATCTACGGCTTGGTATTATTTCGTGTGGCGGCGTGTTTTTTCGGTCCATCTTTTTGGCTGGGGGCATGTGTAGCGATTGCGTCATATCTTGATTAATAGAATCGTCCGATGATATTGAAATTGACGTGTCACACTCAAATTCTATGTGTTTGTTATCTCTGTGCTTTGTGCTTTTTCTGGGCTGCCCTTTCCTTTTCGACTTGGAGACTTGAGCTTTTTCGTAGCCGTTGGTGGGTTTCTTAAAGATTGACTTTTTGATGATGTCGGTGTCGTTTTATGGATACGTTGTTGTCCTAGCGTCCTTCGGTTTGTTGTTTGCCGGATAAGTTCCTCGATGTTCTTTGGTGGCTTTCGTTTGGGGCTCGTAGGTGTTGATGATTTTACCGCCGGATTCTCTGGTCCCTTGGGTGTTTGCTTTTGGATCTTTGAGCCAGTTGGTTTTGTTTGTTTAACTTCTTTGTCTGAAATACGGGGTTTGGTAAATGTTTGTATGCTACAAAGTCTTTTAGCTGTGCCGGTCTACATTTACCGTAAACTCGAGGATCTGGTACAAAAGCTAGACCGTCGTGTCTTATTACCCTCGGTTGTTTTCCATCTTCCCGGACCCACGCAGTATGAGGGGAGTAATTAATGATTGATCCGTTTTTGATTATTTTGAATTGTGCCCCGAATACCCCAGGATTTTTTTTGTTTTACGTGCTATGGTACCCGATTTTCTTGCCACTTGTTCTATACGTTTTCCTAATTTTGGGTCTATGGTGTCCTGGGGTCCTTTAAAGCGATCTTTTAGGAAAACCAAGGGGGCTCTTTCTATCCTTTGTTTTTCTTGTTGTGTAAGCCAACGAATTGGTTTTCCTGTTCTAACATTCGCTATATCATGTTGCGGGTTATCAGCGAGAAAAGACCGTTTATCTTTTTGTAAGTCATAGGGTATATTATTAAGTGGAAGATGCGCACCGATCGGGAATTTTTTCAGCAGAGCTTGATCGAACTCCTCGTCCTCGTCAGTATCCGAAAGTGTCACCTGCTTCTTTTTCATTGTTTCTATCTGGCTAGTTTTTGCTGGTCCCGTTGTCTTACTTCGAACCACTTGTGTTGATGGTCCCGCTGGTTCAAAGGATGGTTCGGAAAGGTAGTTACTCTTGTATACCACGCTCAGTTCGTCCTCACTATTGATGTCCCTGTTCCAAATTGCTTCGGGCGTGAGGGCACACTTAGTGAGTATCTTTTCATCTAAACACGAAAGTTGTGTGTTTTCCCAAGAGAGATTAGAGATTTTGGGTGTTGTGCAGATATTAGTTAATGGGGTGTTTGGTTTACGCCCGTAGTGTGCTTCAAACGGTGTAAATTTGTTGTTGCGTGTGGGGTAATACGCAGTGTCTTGATTAACTCTGCCACATCTGACGCTAATTTGTACGGTGAGTTATTTTTATCGATTTTCATAAAAGAGAGACGAGTTTTTAAAATTCTGATTAGTCTTTCTACCATGCCCATTGAGCGATGATCATCCACTGGATCAAATATCAGTTTAATGTTTTTGCTTTTGCAATAGATCATAATTTTTTTAGCCCGAACCCTTGAGCTTGGTCACACCGGATATTTCTTGGTACACCGTGATTGACAATATGTGTTTGCATAAACTTGATGATCGTATCTGCCTTGTTATTTGCTACCACTTTTGCTGATGGGAATCTTGAGAATATATCTACCCCAACTAGGATGTATACGTCTTTATTGTTTTCATCCGGTAACGGTCCGGCGAAATCCAATTGGATTTCCTCATTCGGTTCGACCACGGCGTCTAGGCTAGTGAAATGTTTCTTACCGGATATTACTCGAAGATTCTTACCTTTGGCGCGACATTCCTTGCAATTTTGCGCTGCTGTAACTATATCTCTATGGAGATATGGATACCATATGTGCTTGGCAGCTTCCAGCATGCCGCCTTGTCCCGGATGAGTAAGGTGGATCGAGTCTAGGATGATTTGCCTTAACTGCCTTGGGATTACTACTCTGTCATCATAGAGTAAGACGTTGTTACGGACAGACAATCGGTCGCGCACGTTGTAAAAATATGGTCCGTAGCAGGCTTTGATCTGATCTCACTTTTGTCGGCGTACCATATTGATCAGGGGTTGAAGGTTGCGATCACGTTTCGTGGCCGCCGCGATGAAATCCACGTTGAGTGCTTTTCGGAGATTTTTCCGAAATAGCGGTACGTCTTCCTCCTCCATAGAGATGGCTTGACATTCTGCCGGGTGGTCTGGTGGGTCTGTTTGACACAATTGGTCTGACTTTTTATTAAAAGTCAAACTATCTTCCGACGGGATCACTTGATGCCTTACGTCGCTGAATGAGAGAGTTGATTGGCTTGGTTCCTCCGGAATTTCTGTGAACGATGCAAAATTGGTAGGCGGAATTGTTACCGTCGTTTGCTGTCCGCTGTGACATTTTCTTACAATTCTTTTGAACGTGGGTAGTGCCATTCCTGTTTGTAGTTGTCGATTCATCTTGGTGTCAATTGGAGCGCTGGATTGTGTGGCCAAGTAAGGTTGATTAGACTGATGACTATAGAAGGTTTTTTCTTTTTGTATTTTGTTTACTGTGGATTGGTTCAAAATGTTTGAATTTGAAAGAGAGTGACTGTTTTCTAGAAGTTGACTATTAACAGTGAATTCTGTTGCTTTTGCATGCGAATTTGAACGAGCAAAGTTTTCGTTCCAGTTGAGCTGTAACGTGCGTTGAACTCCGTTTGGATTTTCGATCATTTCAATGTTAGCTATGGTGCTGTCTTGAAATTCAAGGCAAGAAATGAAATTATCAATAAGTGCGACTACGAAATGTTCATCCCAATACGCGGGGGGTTGTGGTTTCTCCAACGGATGGCGCGAAATATAATCGATTAAGCCCATTTTGCTGCCAGGAAAGGTGTTTTATGTCAAAATCAAATGGGAGGAGACGGTCAGTCCATCTAGTTAGGCGACTTTGATATGTTTTATTACTCTTATTGCTATTTAGAGCACTAACCAAAGCTTGGTGGTCAGTAATTAATGTAAAACGGCGGCCATACAGATAATATTTAAAATGATCAATGGCCCATACTGCAGCTAGAAGTTCAAACTCGTTTACTGAATATTTATTTTCGCATGTGTTTAGAAATCTAAAAGCATATGCCACCGTAGCCCATCCATCTGGAGTTTCTTGTTCAAGTGCTGCTCCGATACCATCGCGGCTTGCGTCGCAGACTATTATTGTCTCTCGATTATTTACGAAGTGTCGATTTTCTGTGATATTTTGCACCGCTGTAAGAATGGTTTTAAATGCCTCTTCATGTTTTTGTTCCCAAACGTAGTGGAATTTGGAAGAAGATGATAAGAGTGGTCTCAATGGTGTACACAGTTGTGCCAAGTTTGGTATAATTTTATTTAGATGGTGGACCAATCCCATAAAACTTTGAATTTTTTGCAAGTTTTAGGGTGTTGGAGTTTTGTAATTGCATCGGTTTTCTTGTGCATTGGTATGGTTCCGTATTCATTTATGACAAACCCCAGCCATTCGACTTCTTTACAGCCGAATTTACATTTATTTAGTGAAATAGCCATATTTTCTTGATCTAACTTGTCTAAGATTTTTTTCAATTTATCGATGTGTTGTTCTTTAGTTCCGTGGGATATAATCAATATGTCGTCAAGAAAAGCGAAGGTATCCTTTTCGTTGTTTAACGTTAGATCAATGGCCTTCTGGAATTCTGCGGGCATATCCGTGAGCCCGTAGAATCCAGTCTGGAATTGATAGGTGCTTGTTGCTTGCCCGCCAATTATACTAAAGTTACACTGCGTTTTAGTTTTATCATCCAATTTCAGTTGACTGTAGGCATAGCGAAGGTCAATGGTAGAGAAGTATGTTGTCCCTGGTTTACCATTACCTTCTTGAGCTGATTGGGCTACATTATCCAAGAATACGTCGATGTTTGGCATATCATACTTGTTTTTATGCATCGCTTTGTTAATTTGTTTTGAATCCATTGCTAGTTTTATTGAATGATCTTTTTTTTACCGTTATTACCCTTGGGCTAATGAACTGCTTGTTGCTACAGCTATCTAGTTTCACAATATGGCCTTGGTCAATCAAAGATTTGAGTTCTTGTTCGACATTTTCCTGAATGTGAATCGGAATTCTCCGCCCTTTCTGTTGTAGCGCCTTGAAGTCGTGTAGAAACTTTGTATGAACCTCAAAGTGTGGTTTTTTGAGCGTCCGATGCGTGTGCACACATTTGTAACCATTTTGTAACCATTTGTAACCATTGTAGCAGACCATTCTATTAGCCTCGTCGTCTTGATTGATTTGAATGCGTCTGGCCCTTGACACTGTATTCTGTAGTGTAACCGCTGTTTTATTGTTTACAAATGACGTTGGAGACCCTGTATCTGCAATGAAGGTAATATTATTATTCCCTATCTTAACTCGAATGAGATGTCCTATTAAGTCGTCCGTCATTAGTTTTTCTGCCGTTTCTTCTTGAAAGTTTACAGCATTTACGCTGTTGTCATCTGGGTGGATGAGTTCCCATCCCGGAACGACATCCCCTGCCTGGAGATAATCCACATACGCCGCTATATCTGTGTCCTGCATATTTAATTCGGTATCTGTTTCTTCACTGATTGCATTAACGTTTGAGGAATTACAGAGTCTTGCGTAGTGTCCTCTTTTCGTGCATTTATTGCAGATTTTGTCTTTTGCCGGACATTGTTGGAGGTGACCAGGTCCGAACGGATTACCGCACTTAAAACAAGATTGTTTCCTGTCTCTGTCTTGTCGTTGCGAGTTTCCCCGCTGTGGTTGTCCTCGACCCCTGTTGTTCCCCCGTCTATTATTGCGGTACGAGTCGCCTCCTCGTCTTTGAATGAACCCAACTGGTTCGGACTTTATGCCCGTTTGCTGAGGAGAAATTGCTGATGATCCTTGCTTGCGTATTTGAAGTTGGTTTTCCAAACCTTTTTCCCTGCGTATTGCATATTCAAATGCTTGGTCGGGGGTTTTCGTCTCAGCCAGTAGGTCTTTTTGTACCTCATCATTTGTCATATTTGCTGTGAATAAATCTCGAATAATTTCAGTCTCCAACGTGTTATCATTGCAATTAGGACATTTGAAGTTTCCCTTAATGACCAACTCCGTGAGGCCACAGTGGAACTGCTCAAGCGTTTCCGTCTTGTTTTGCTTTCTTGTGAACGCCTCGTATCTGTCAAACGTAACGTTGCCGTCTTGAATAAAGAGGTGCTCTAGTCTATTCCAGAATGTCCTCGTTGATGTCTCTTGTATTTTTAGATCTGGGTAATGTTGGCGGAGACGTCTTTGTCCCTCGTTTCCAAGACTGAGGTAAATATAGCTTCTGACTTTTACGTCGGCTTCCTCCCATGGTATTCCGTCCACGGTGGGTCCCAAGTTATCCAATTGGGCACATTGATTATCCCATTGGATCTTCTTGTCTTGGTTGCGTATGTTTCTGTCCCTAGTTTGTGATGGAGTTTCCCCCTCTATAGGGAGCTCATAACCAGGTTCTTGCGGTTTTCGCACTGCGGGTGGATCTCGTAATAGCTTTTGCAGATTTATTCCGTCTTTTGCGACGATTCCTAACTAGAGCTGTTGGTTCCATTTTCCCCACTCGGTTGGAGGTTCCGCCGAGGCTTTCTGCCAAAATGGGGCGATACCTAGTGGGTTTTTTGTTGTGAGTGCTGGCTGCGCCATGTTATACCCTCAGCCGTTAGGTGGGGTATAATCTAGATAATCTATGTAATCAAAGTCTATGCTGAACGCTAACTGAGAATAGAGAAATAGGAAGATTGAGAGAACAACTTAAATTCAATTGATAAAGTTAAGTCTGATTCGAATCTGACCTCGAAATCGTAAGAGCGACAGAGACTCATAAATAACTATTGAATATGGTGTTAGGTTTAATAGGTACTTAATTTAGATCAGACATCTATATGATTACGTTTACATAATGTTACATAAGTAGGTATGGCTAACGTTTAGGCTATAAGCGATCTATGTAATGTGTTTTAGCTATACAGAGTTCTAATGGATATCCAGTATATCCGTACGGATAACAAGCGCCATACAAAAGGGCCTCCACTATACCAACCTGTCATCTTTTAATCTATCTTCTTTCACCTTCTTTTTACTGCTCCCTCCTCTGGGCGACCATTGTCTGGGCCTGAAAGACAGGGGACTCTCCTCTCTCGCCTTGTCAGAGATGACCTGTTCAGGCGACGGTGACCTCGAGTCTATCATGATCGTATCTGGGAGCACTCTTCCTGATTTAGAGCTCTTACGGTGAGCGCTACTTGAGCGGTCGCGGCTGTGTTTGCGCGATGAGGGAGAATGGGATCTCTTTCTTGACTTGCAACTAAATGGTGCGGCTGCGGCATTCGGGTTCTCTTTCACCGGAGACTAAAATTTTCAAATCAGAATTAGCCAAAAACTTCAAAAAAATAACTACTTGCAACATCGAATGCCCGCCTAGCCAGCTTAAAAACGTGTTCAATTTTAAACATTGACTATCTTGAAACTATACTTCAATGAGAATGTCTTACAGGTTCAGCGTGTTCTTCTAAGAAGCTGTTATAATCCAGACACACGCACTCCTCTGGTGCATCCTCCCACGTAGTGATGATCTGAACAGACTTTCTCTAGATTTAACCCTTAGCATACTACTAACAAGGATAGCTGGTTACTGTGCAAGTAGCACAGAATGTTCCGACCAGTCTTTAAAAACTACAAAAAAGTTTTTTTTTTCAAATTAATATAGATTTTTCGGCGAGGTGTGATAAAAGGATCAGATGTAAAACTATAATTTAGGCATTTTCGACAGTCATAGTAATATAGGCTAATTGGACAAAAAATTTTGCAGAAAAATGGCTAAAAACAAAAAAAGTTTGAAAAATTCATATATATTTTTTTCAATTTATTTCGCAGAAAATGTTTGAATTTTTCTGAAACTTTTGGCTCTGGAAATGGAATTAAAACACTCCAAAAACTAAGTTTACTTGCTTAAAATTAAGTTTTTACACTAATTTAGGCACAATTTTGCTGTTGTAAGCCTGCTCGCTCGTTTAATTCGCTCGAAATAAGACTAAACATCAAAAAAAAATCAAACCAACTTTTCTCAACACTGGGGCATTTTTAAAAAAAATTTTTTTAAATGTCGTTCAAATTACGACTGTAAGAGCTTTAATATGATATATCACTCAAAACCGTCCGATAATTATCCGATGGTAAAACAAAAAAAGTGAATCACCCGAATACAAAGTTCCTCCCCATTTTCAATGGTCGGAACAATATCTACTTTGAATGCTAAGGCCATGTATAAATACATAACCATTACTTTTATTTATTGAAGCTTTGTGATTCAAAATTATACCCTCTCCATATCTTTCCTGCTCCTCTTATGAGTGTTGCGTTTGAAGCATGTCGAAGCCGGTACTTTCAATTCCACTAAGTAAGACTAAAACAGAAAAGGATAGGATACATCTTCCGTTAATTTAATAATTCGCTCTATTAGTCTAAAAAAGACTTTTCACTATCAAAGTTTTTGAAGAAACTAGCTGTAATTAATATTTATCTTTGAATTTTATCATTTAATCAGAGATATCCGCAGCTTTGAAAAAACTTTTTCCTGCGTTCGTGTGATTCTTCGTCTTTTCCCACAATTGCAAGTTGACTCAATTTGTTTCTATGAATTTATGGCAGCACCCTGCAATCCTAAGGAGTTCGTCAGCCTTCTATTCTGAATTGCTGATATTAATTGTTTTAAATTTACTGTTTGACGCAATCGAAGTTCTTGCGAGGGAAACAAGCCGAGAAAAATAAGCAGATTAAATTTTCAGCTGTCAAAAAATTTGCAAAAAGTCCTTTTTATCTTCCCACGCATTTAAGTCACCTATGATGCCAAATGCTCAGAACCAGTCATTGAACTAAAATTAACTATAAACCAAACCACCAAATGATTGACTGGTTCTGTTAGACAAGTTTGTAATTATGCAAAAAGTCCATGTTCCGACTTGATAACGCTTTCTAATCGCAAGTGTGATTATGTAGTAATGTAACAACGAGGAATTAATTTTTCTTCTAAACTAATATCAAACTTATGTCAAAATTTTAGTCAAGAAAAATCGACTGAGCCACCGATCACCAAAATGAAAGGCCAGAAGGTCGTTGGTTCAGAAAATAACGATCCGCTCTCAGTCTCCTATTCCCTCGTGCTCATTAAATTTATCTTTAAACTAATATGCACTCATTGAATAATAGCATGGCGTTGACCTTATATCCGCATAGTTTGGCACAATCTAGGTACTGTTCGAAGTCAGAGAGGAGGTGGTTGGTGTTGTCCACGATGAGGAAGCTAAACAGGTCATTCTCCAGACTCTTCTTGAAGCACTTGAACATGCAGAGGTTGTAGGCCGCCTCCATGCTCTCGTCATACTCGTACTGCACAATCTGTACAAACAAAAAAGAAAGATTGATAGATTGATTCTACATAGTTGTTACTTCAGTCAATCAGGAGAAACTGCATTTGAATAAAAAAAACTGATCGCATATAAAACTGAAAACTAATTTGCCTTCTGCTTATATAAATAATCCTTCTTAAGTTCAAGACCGGTTCAAAATAGTAAGTCCAAATTGGCTCAGTAATACTTGGAATGAGTAAAACAAGCATTTGAACCTTGTTGCGTGGGGCGGAGGGCAAGGTAATTTTGGCGTTGCGCTGTTCCTCGGCCGACTCCTTCTTGATGAACTCTTCTGTGATGTAGTAGTCGTCTATGCTCAGAATTCGAGGGGGTTTCGCATGATCTCCCAAGATCACTTCCCGCTCCTAAAGCGATTGTAAAAAAAAATCGTACAAAAAACTAGAAAAAAAAACTTAAATATTCCTCGTACCAAAACAAGGTAAACGTTACATCAGTTTCAGAACTCCCTTCTTATCAAAATAGCGCTATCAAAATATCACTCATGCAGCATTATTCAGCAACGCTCAGGGAACTCGGATAGTACGTACTGGTAGGAAGCATTGAAAATTGGATTCAAAATTTGCAATTACTTCAAATTTTACTTATAAAAGCTAGAAATGAAAACCTTTTCACCTTTTATTTTTATTTCTCTTTTTCTTTTGTTTCTCTTTTTTACTTTTATTTCACCTTTTCTACTTTGAATTGGCTTATTTGTACTGACCTTAATGAGTCTGGCTAAAAATGATTTCCCAGATCCCGGAGGTCCTCTGAGGATGAGGACTATCTTGGGTGGTCTGATCCTTCTTCCGGGGTATTCTATCAGGTCAGTCAGCTCAGTTGGGTCAGGGACTGTGATTAAGTCATTCAGAGTAGGCCTATTCAGGTCAATAGCCAGAGAACTGAAACGACAAAAAAAAACATTTTAGATACAGACAGCCAAAAGGAGATGGGTACAAGAACGCTAAACTAATTCCGAACATATCTCCAATTAGGACAGAAACTTTTGCCCAGATGCAAAGTGGGTCTTCGCATCATTTGCAAAACAACACAAACGCAGCACGCAAAGCTAGCCGACAGAAACCAGACGAAAGCCGCTAATAAAAAAAAATTGAGAAAAAAATTGATACAAGCTCATTTTTCGCCTATAAAATTTTTACATAAAAACTTTAGTAATTTTTCGCCTGAAAAACGACGCATTGAGGCGACCAAGCCCATAATCTATAAGCCGAAACCTTTTAGGCCGAAACCTTATCAGCCGAAAAAATTTACAACTAACATTAAAAATAAATTGCGAATAGAGCTGGTATATAAAATGCAAACTCCCTCAAAATATATCTGTTATCGGCCTAATCACAACAGTGTTGACAAAATGATGCAGCAACTATATTACACGAAGTGTCAACCTGGAAAAAAAATATGTTTCGATTTGATAATGCTTGCTAATCGCCAGCTTAATAATTCCAGAAACGTTGAAAATCAGGTTCAACTTACTTATTGACGCTAGCATTGTTGTCTTGCTGCTGAATGCAAGACTCGTCTGCAAAATGCTTGGATACCCACTTCGGGTAATACGGGTGTCTGGGATCCGGTCCGTGATCTCGATCGTAAAATTCTGCAGCACAAAATTGGCTTGTTAAAACCCAAATAAAGCTAAGTGATTGGGTCAGCGTGCACATTTAAATATGCGGAATTTATACTATGAAAAAAAACTGAATTACCTTTCTCCCATTTCAGTTCTTGCTCTTTTTCCGGATCGACGTCAGGTCTGAACAAACACAAGTTAAGCAAAATGGAACGCTTAAGAAAAGGTTTAAATCTTCCTGAATACTTCAGCAGGTCGTCGACTCACCCGTGCACCTTGTAGTACATCTTTCCAAACTGGTCATACCACGCCCTGTACTCCATCTCAGTTTCATATCTCTCCATGTCACAAAACACCCCCTGCTCATCCTGTCCTCCGATTGCAAACCCAGTTCCCAAGATCCCGGTTCCTCCTCCAACGTCCATTCCCATTCCCACTCCCATCATGGAACCCCTACCCCTACCTCCTCTAGGGTACGCAGAAACTCCTCCAAATCCTCCTCGACCACCCATGGTAGGCATGATTCCTGGAGCATCCATCGCTCTACTTTGCAAATCCATCGATGGTGGGGTATTAACTGGAAGGTTCCCGACAACCGATGGATTCGGTACTAGTCTCCCACGGATACCACGACCACGCATGCTGGGCATGCCGCGTCCACCGTACCCACCTCTTTCAGCGTATGGAGCATTTGGTCGTGTACCAGGTTGCTTTTGTTGGACGTTACGTGCTTCAGACGCTTTGAACTTAAACACAAGTAATCATTGTTACTTTCATCCTCAACCCTGATTTTTTTTTTAAAAAGCATTAGATAACATAGAGTCATATCATTATGGTTTAATAATAATAATTGTGGTTTCTGCGATTCGCACGAGACCTGTCGAAAACTATCCAGCTTGTCTAAGGAAAGTCAGTTTTTCTTGTTTCCCCACATTCCAGACTAAGTTAGTCAGTTGGCGTAGCTTTTTTTCAACTCAAGGTCGCTTTTTAGCGTCCAGAACTTCCATGTGGTTCCTTTTGCCGTCGAAATCGGTCAGGTTGTGGTAGACCTGAAGCTAGAGGTCAAGTGAGAGCTCGTCCTCACACACTATCATCGCCAGGGGATCGATAATACTAATTAGCAATAATTAAAACCTATCCTATCTTCAAATTGTAGTAACTAACTACCGATATCCAGTTATGAGCAACCAAAACTTTCAGTAACAAAAAACTTTTCTACTTCTTGTAATATTTCTGGTTTTTATTCAAGTTTTTTAAACAAATTTTGAAGAACCATAAAATTTTGTGAAGTTTTATTTAAGTTCTTCGAAAAATTTAAAATGAACTAAGAAACGTCACATCTGGAAAACTGAAAGCAATTGAGCAGTCGCATTTGGACGCAAGATTTGCAACTCCTGAGAGTACCCTTACAGTACCCAACTACAACGTTGGGAAATTCAAACTTAGAGAAGTTTCACCTTAAGTTTTGCCTCCTCGTCTTTGAATGAACCCAACTGGTTCGGACTTTATGCCCGTTTGCTGAGGAGAAATTGCTGATGATCCTTGCTTGCGTATTTGAAGTTGGTTTTCCAAACCTTTTTCCCTGCGTATTGCATATTCAAATGCTTGGTCGGGGGTTTTCGTCTCAGCCAGTAGGTCTTTTTGTACCTCATCATTTGTCATATTTGCTGTGAATAAATCTCGAATAATTTCAGTCTCCAACGTGTTATCATTGCAATTAGGACATTTGAAGTTTCCCTTAATGACCAACTCCGTGAGGCCACAGTGGAACTGCTCAAGCGTTTCCGTCTTGTTTTGCTTTCTTGTGAACGCCTCGTATCTGTCAAACGTAACGTTGCCGTCTTGAATAAAGAGGTGCTCTAGTCTATTCCAGAATGTCCTCGTTGATGTCTCTTGTATTTTTAGATCTGGGTAATGTTGGCGGAGACGTCTTTGTCCCTCGTTTCCAAGACTGAGGTAAATATAGCTTCTGACTTTTACGTCGGCTTCCTCCCATGGTATTCCGTCCACGGTGGGTCCCAAGTTATCCAATTGGGCACATTGATTATCCCATTGGATCTTCTTGTCTTGGTTGCGTATGTTTCTGTCCCTAGTTTGTGATGGAGTTTCCCCCTCTATAGGGAGCTCATAACCAGGTTCTTGCGGTTTTCGCACTGCGGGTGGATCTCGTAATAGCTTTTGCAGATTTATTCCGTCTTTTGCGACGATTCCTAACTAGAGCTGTTGGTTCCATTTTCCCCACTCGGTTGGAGGTTCCGCCGAGGCTTTCTGCCAAAATGGGGCGATACCTAGTGGGTTTTTTGTTGTGAGTGCTGGCTGCGCCATGTTATACCCTCAGCCGTTAGGTGGGGTATAATCTAGATAATCTATGTAATCAAAGTCTATGCTGAACGCTAACTGAGAATAGAGAAATAGGAAGATTGAGAGAACAACTTAAATTCAATTGATAAAGTTAAGTCTGATTCGAATCTGACCTCGAAATCGTAAGAGCGACAGAGACTCATAAATAACTATTGAATATGGTGTTAGGTTTAATAGGTACTTAATTTAGATCAGACATCTATATGATTACGTTTACATAATGTTACATAAGTAGGTATGGCTAACGTTTAGGCTATAAGCGATCTATGTAATGTGTTTTAGCTATACAGAGTTCTAATGGATATCCAGTATATCCGTACGGATAACAAGCGCCATACAAAAGGGCCTCCACTATACCAACCTGTCATCTTTTAATCTATCTTCTTTCACCTTCTTTTTACTGCTCCCTCCTCTGGGCGACCATTGTCTGGGCCTGAAAGACAGGGGACTCTCCTCTCTCGCCTTGTCAGAGATGACCTGTTCAGGCGACGGTGACCTCGAGTCTATCATGATCGTATCTGGGAGCACTCTTCCTGATTTAGAGCTCTTACGGTGAGCGCTACTTGAGCGGTCGCGGCTGTGTTTGCGCGATGAGGGAGAATGGGATCTCTTTCTTGACTTGCAACTAAATGGTGCGGCTGCGGCATTCGGGTTCTCTTTCACCGGAGACTAAAATTTTCAAATCAGAATTAGCCAAAAACTTCAAAAAAATAACTACTTGCAACATCGAATGCCCGCCTAGCCAGCTTAAAAACGTGTTCAATTTTAAACATTGACTATCTTGAAACTATACTTCAATGAGAATGTCTTACAGGTTCAGCGTGTTCTTCTAAGAAGCTGTTATAATCCAGACACACGCACTCCTCTGGTGCATCCTCCCACGTAGTGATGATCTGAACAGACTTTCTCTAGATTTAACCCTTAGCATACTACTAACAAGGATAGCTGGTTACTGTGCAAGTAGCACAGAATGTTCCGACCAGTCTTTAAAAACTACAAAAAAGTTTTTTTTTTCAAATTAATATAGATTTTTCGGCGAGGTGTGATAAAAGGATCAGATGTAAAACTATAATTTAGGCATTTTCGACAGTCATAGTAATATAGGCTAATTGGACAAAAAATTTTGCAGAAAAATGGCTAAAAACAAAAAAAGTTTGAAAAATTCATATATATTTTTTTCAATTTATTTCGCAGAAAATGTTTGAATTTTTCTGAAACTTTTGGCTCTGGAAATGGAATTAAAACACTCCAAAAACTAAGTTTACTTGCTTAAAATTAAGTTTTTACACTAATTTAGGCACAATTTTGCTGTTGTAAGCCTGCTCGCTCGTTTAATTCGCTCGAAATAAGACTAAACATCAAAAAAAAATCAAACCAACTTTTCTCAACACTGGGGCATTTTTAAAAAAAATTTTTTTAAATGTCGTTCAAATTACGACTGTAAGAGCTTTAATATGATATATCACTCAAAACCGTCCGATAATTATCCGATGGTAAAACAAAAAAAGTGAATCACCCGAATACAAAGTTCCTCCCCATTTTCAATGGTCGGAACAATATCTACTTTGAATGCTAAGGCCATGTATAAATACATAACCATTACTTTTATTTATTGAAGCTTTGTGATTCAAAATTATACCCTCTCCATATCTTTCCTGCTCCTCTTATGAGTGTTGCGTTTGAAGCATGTCGAAGCCGGTACTTTCAATTCCACTAAGTAAGACTAAAACAGAAAAGGATAGGATACATCTTCCGTTAATTTAATAATTCGCTCTATTAGTCTAAAAAAGACTTTTCACTATCAAAGTTTTTGAAGAAACTAGCTGTAATTAATATTTATCTTTGAATTTTATCATTTAATCAGAGATATCCGCAGCTTTGAAAAAACTTTTTCCTGCGTTCGTGTGATTCTTCGTCTTTTCCCACAATTGCAAGTTGACTCAATTTGTTTCTATGAATTTATGGCAGCACCCTGCAATCCTAAGGAGTTCGTCAGCCTTCTATTCTGAATTGCTGATATTAATTGTTTTAAATTTACTGTTTGACGCAATCGAAGTTCTTGCGAGGGAAACAAGCCGAGAAAAATAAGCAGATTAAATTTTCAGCTGTCAAAAAATTTGCAAAAAGTCCTTTTTATCTTCCCACGCATTTAAGTCACCTATGATGCCAAATGCTCAGAACCAGTCATTGAACTAAAATTAACTATAAACCAAACCACCAAATGATTGACTGGTTCTGTTAGACAAGTTTGTAATTATGCAAAAAGTCCATGTTCCGACTTGATAACGCTTTCTAATCGCAAGTGTGATTATGTAGTAATGTAACAACGAGGAATTAATTTTTCTTCTAAACTAATATCAAACTTATGTCAAAATTTTAGTCAAGAAAAATCGACTGAGCCACCGATCACCAAAATGAAAGGCCAGAAGGTCGTTGGTTCAGAAAATAACGATCCGCTCTCAGTCTCCTATTCCCTCGTGCTCATTAAATTTATCTTTAAACTAATATGCACTCATTGAATAATAGCATGGCGTTGACCTTATATCCGCATAGTTTGGCACAATCTAGGTACTGTTCGAAGTCAGAGAGGAGGTGGTTGGTGTTGTCCACGATGAGGAAGCTAAACAGGTCATTCTCCAGACTCTTCTTGAAGCACTTGAACATGCAGAGGTTGTAGGCCGCCTCCATGCTCTCGTCATACTCGTACTGCACAATCTGTACAAACAAAAAAGAAAGATTGATAGATTGATTCTACATAGTTGTTACTTCAGTCAATCAGGAGAAACTGCATTTGAATAAAAAAAACTGATCGCATATAAAACTGAAAACTAATTTGCCTTCTGCTTATATAAATAATCCTTCTTAAGTTCAAGACCGGTTCAAAATAGTAAGTCCAAATTGGCTCAGTAATACTTGGAATGAGTAAAACAAGCATTTGAACCTTGTTGCGTGGGGCGGAGGGCAAGGTAATTTTGGCGTTGCGCTGTTCCTCGGCCGACTCCTTCTTGATGAACTCTTCTGTGATGTAGTAGTCGTCTATGCTCAGAATTCGAGGGGGTTTCGCATGATCTCCCAAGATCACTTCCCGCTCCTAAAGCGATTGTAAAAAAAAATCGTACAAAAAACTAGAAAAAAAAACTTAAATATTCCTCGTACCAAAACAAGGTAAACGTTACATCAGTTTCAGAACTCCCTTCTTATCAAAATAGCGCTATCAAAATATCACTCATGCAGCATTATTCAGCAACGCTCAGGGAACTCGGATAGTACGTACTGGTAGGAAGCATTGAAAATTGGATTCAAAATTTGCAATTACTTCAAATTTTACTTATAAAAGCTAGAAATGAAAACCTTTTCACCTTTTATTTTTATTTCTCTTTTTCTTTTGTTTCTCTTTTTTACTTTTATTTCACCTTTTCTACTTTGAATTGGCTTATTTGTACTGACCTTAATGAGTCTGGCTAAAAATGATTTCCCAGATCCCGGAGGTCCTCTGAGGATGAGGACTATCTTGGGTGGTCTGATCCTTCTTCCGGGGTATTCTATCAGGTCAGTCAGCTCAGTTGGGTCAGGGACTGTGATTAAGTCATTCAGAGTAGGCCTATTCAGGTCAATAGCCAGAGAACTGAAACGACAAAAAAAAACATTTTAGATACAGACAGCCAAAAGGAGATGGGTACAAGAACGCTAAACTAATTCCGAACATATCTCCAATTAGGACAGAAACTTTTGCCCAGATGCAAAGTGGGTCTTCGCATCATTTGCAAAACAACACAAACGCAGCACGCAAAGCTAGCCGACAGAAACCAGACGAAAGCCGCTAATAAAAAAAAATTGAGAAAAAAATTGATACAAGCTCATTTTTCGCCTATAAAATTTTTACATAAAAACTTTAGTAATTTTTCGCCTGAAAAACGACGCATTGAGGCGACCAAGCCCATAATCTATAAGCCGAAACCTTTTAGGCCGAAACCTTATCAGCCGAAAAAATTTACAACTAACATTAAAAATAAATTGCGAATAGAGCTGGTATATAAAATGCAAACTCCCTCAAAATATATCTGTTATCGGCCTAATCACAACAGTGTTGACAAAATGATGCAGCAACTATATTACACGAAGTGTCAACCTGGAAAAAAAATATGTTTCGATTTGATAATGCTTGCTAATCGCCAGCTTAATAATTCCAGAAACGTTGAAAATCAGGTTCAACTTACTTATTGACGCTAGCATTGTTGTCTTGCTGCTGAATGCAAGACTCGTCTGCAAAATGCTTGGATACCCACTTCGGGTAATACGGGTGTCTGGGATCCGGTCCGTGATCTCGATCGTAAAATTCTGCAGCACAAAATTGGCTTGTTAAAACCCAAATAAAGCTAAGTGATTGGGTCAGCGTGCACATTTAAATATGCGGAATTTATACTATGAAAAAAAACTGAATTACCTTTCTCCCATTTCAGTTCTTGCTCTTTTTCCGGATCGACGTCAGGTCTGAACAAACACAAGTTAAGCAAAATGGAACGCTTAAGAAAAGGTTTAAATCTTCCTGAATACTTCAGCAGGTCGTCGACTCACCCGTGCACCTTGTAGTACATCTTTCCAAACTGGTCATACCACGCCCTGTACTCCATCTCAGTTTCATATCTCTCCATGTCACAAAACACCCCCTGCTCATCCTGTCCTCCGATTGCAAACCCAGTTCCCAAGATCCCGGTTCCTCCTCCAACGTCCATTCCCATTCCCACTCCCATCATGGAACCCCTACCCCTACCTCCTCTAGGGTACGCAGAAACTCCTCCAAATCCTCCTCGACCACCCATGGTAGGCATGATTCCTGGAGCATCCATCGCTCTACTTTGCAAATCCATCGATGGTGGGGTATTAACTGGAAGGTTCCCGACAACCGATGGATTCGGTACTAGTCTCCCACGGATACCACGACCACGCATGCTGGGCATGCCGCGTCCACCGTACCCACCTCTTTCAGCGTATGGAGCATTTGGTCGTGTACCAGGTTGCTTTTGTTGGACGTTACGTGCTTCAGACGCTTTGAACTTAAACACAAGTAATCATTGTTACTTTCATCCTCAACCCTGATTTTTTTTTTAAAAAGCATTAGATAACATAGAGTCATATCATTATGGTTTAATAATAATAATTGTGGTTTCTGCGATTCGCACGAGACCTGTCGAAAACTATCCAGCTTGTCTAAGGAAAGTCAGTTTTTCTTGTTTCCCCACATTCCAGACTAAGTTAGTCAGTTGGCGTAGCTTTTTTTCAACTCAAGGTCGCTTTTTAGCGTCCAGAACTTCCATGTGGTTCCTTTTGCCGTCGAAATCGGTCAGGTTGTGGTAGACCTGAAGCTAGAGGTCAAGTGAGAGCTCGTCCTCACACACTATCATCGCCAGGGGATCGATAATACTAATTAGCAATAATTAAAACCTATCCTATCTTCAAATTGTAGTAACTAACTACCGATATCCAGTTATGAGCAACCAAAACTTTCAGTAACAAAAAACTTTTCTACTTCTTGTAATATTTCTGGTTTTTATTCAAGTTTTTTAAACAAATTTTGAAGAACCATAAAATTTTGTGAAGTTTTATTTAAGTTCTTCGAAAAATTTAAAATGAACTAAGAAACGTCACATCTGGAAAACTGAAAGCAATTGAGCAGTCGCATTTGGACGCAAGATTTGCAACTCCTGAGAGTACCCTTACAGTACCCAACTACAACGTTGGGAAATTCAAACTTAGAGAAGTTTCACCTTAAGTTTTTTAAAAGGTATTTTTTTGAAAACCAGAAAAAAATCATTTTTCGAAAACTACCAAATTTTGAGCAGTCTTTTTTGAGGGGAATATTCGCAATCTTTGAAAGTACACAACTACAGGGTTGAGAATTTCACTTTTTGTAATTTGAGTTTTCTGAACATTTCTTCAAAAAAAATCACAAAAATCGTCTTATCTCTTAAGCAAAAATGATTTGGGCATTCTTAATTGTAGGTCGAATTTGCAACCCCTGAGATTACTCTGACAGCCTCCCAACTACAGGTTAAAAATTTCAAACTTTGAAAAAAAAATTAATTTATTTTTTTCGTGAAAATTTTTTAAGAATCACAAAAAAAAGTCATATCTGGAAAACTGCAAGATTTTGAGCAGTCCTATTCAGAGGCAAGATTCGCAACACCCTGAGAGTACTCTCATAGAAGTTCGGAGAAAATCATAATTTCGGAGAAAATCATGAAAAAAACGTCATATCTCGAAAACTACAAAGATTTGAGCAGTCATATTGGGATTCAAAAATCGCAACTCCTGAGAGTACCCTGACAGAGCCTCACTTAGAGATGAGAATTTCAAATTTTCTATACCTAAGTTTTCTAAAAAAAATTTGGAAAAAAATCCTAAAAAAACGTCACATCTCGAAAACTACCAGAATTTGAGCAGCCATATTCGGAGGCAAGATTCGCAACCCCCTAAGATTACCCACACAGATTCCAATGACAGGATTGAGATCTTCAAAACTTTGGAATTTTTTAAGATTTAAGTTTTTGAAAATTTCGGAGAAAATCATAAAAAACGTCATATATCGAAAACTACAAGGATTTGAGCAATCATATTTGGTGATGAAATTCGCAACTCCTGGGAGTACCCTGACAGAGCCTCACTACAGAGATGGTAATTTCAAGTTTTGTGAAATTTTTTATATCTAAGTTTTTTGAACAATTTTGAAAAAAAAACCCAAAAAAAACATCATATCTCGAACACTACAAGGATTCGAGCAGCCATAATCAAAGGCAAGATTAGCAACCCCAGAAAGTATCCTCACAGTATCCAAGAACAGGATTGAGATCTTCAACAATTTGGAATTTTTCAAAATCTAAGTTGTGGAAATTTTTTGAAAAAATCATAAAAAACGTCATATCTCGAAAACTACAAGAGTTTGAGAAGCGAGATTCGGAGACAAGACTCCCAACCCCTGAGAGTAACTTGAAAGCACTCAACTACAGGGTGAGAATTTCAAAAATTGAGAAACATTTTTAAATTTAATTTTTTTAGAAACTTTTGAAACATCTCGAAAATTGCCTATCTCGTAAAGTAAAAGGATTTGGTTATTCATATATGGAGGCCAGAATCGCAAAGCCTGGGAAAACTGTGACAACCACTATCAGGTTGCTTATTTCAAACTAGAGCTTGAATTTAAACAGGAAAATCGAAAAAAACCTTAACCATTGCAATATACCATATAGCTTAAACGCGAAAAAATTCATTTGTTAAACATACGAAAAAATAATACGTTGAAAAAGCTCAAACATGGCGAGAGAGTAAAGCCCGCATTTAAAAATAAAATATTAGATAGATAATTGATGAAAGTTAAAAAATTAGGCGACGGGTAGACAGACATAATCAAGTTAATTAAAAGCAGGTATACAGATAGACAGACTTAATTTGGCCTCGAAAAGAATACTGAAAAAACAATGACCTTGCGAAAAACTAATTGAAAAATTCTTCTTAAGAATTGCAATATACGATATAGCTTAAACATGAAAAAATTCTTTCGTTAAATATGCAAAATTATTATGCTTAAACTTGTGAGATAGCTGTCACTCGCATTTAAATATAGTATAGATAGATAGATATAGATAGATTAACATTTTTTGGTTATCAAGCAAAATATATTCTTTTGTAAATTTTGGAGATTTTAACCTTGTAGATTTTTGTTGCGCTGTGTAAGAGGCTTCTTTTGATGCAATTTTCGAATTAAATAAATCAGTAGTTTTAGCTTAATTTTTGATGACCTAAAAAAGGCAAAGCGTCTCATTTTTGGGGTACATGTTTGGTTCCGAATTGTGCAAAATAAATTAAACCATAATAGTTCTGGCAAAATTCTAAGCAAACCTCGGCTTTTGAAAAAAAGCGTTTGAAAATTCAAATTTTGTTTGTTTCGTCTAGATGAATTAAATCAGCTCTAGAGAACTTTCGCATTTTGCTCAACCATTTGTTTTTTAAATAGTTTTATCCACTCTTTTTTAACTAGTTTTATTCAGATAATTATTTTTTCACTTTTACAATGACTACTCGAACCCGCATAGATTAGGCAGCTCTACCACCATATCGTTATACAGTAGTCTAATGATTAACAATCGTTCGTTGATCTTGTAAAAAAAATCTTGAGTCCTCGACTTTTTTATTTCTCGTAATCTTATCTGAAGTTGCCAAATTGATGCAAGAACTGCAAAATATGATTTTATGATCAAAAATTACCCTTTTTAGTTCGCTCATTACAAAAAAGGTCTCCTTTATTCTTGATTTTCTCATCCCTGCCCATGATTACTCCTTTAGGTGCCACATTGGGAACCTCAGAAAACTTGAACAATTATCATGAGACAGGTGTTTTAAAAAATAATAATTTGCACAAAGTTGTGCATATTCAAAAATTAAAAATTAGTAGACAAAATTATGAAGCTGAGATTTACAACACTTGCGGCATAAAAATGAATGGCCGTGATTAAAATAAAACGGAAAACAATCAAAAATTAAAAAAAAACCTTAAAAATCGTTCCTGTCATAAAAATCGCAAAGAAAGCCAAAAAGCCGAACTGGAAAAAAACACGCCACGGCCGGATTCAAACCTCAAGCCTTTGCTGTATCAAGCACATGTGTTACCTCTACACCAGATGCACAGGATCACAAAAACTGGAAAAAAAAACCTTCAAAAACGTTGTCTGCAATCATGTTTTTTTTGCGGAAAATACGTCCGAAAACACAACCGAGGGCGATTAATGGAATATCAAAAAAATTACAAGCGGCAAATTAATCGAAAAATCGTGAATAATTTCCTGTATAACCGACATAATAATTATTGTCATGAAAACTTTTATTTTTGCACAGTTGTTTGAAACATTAGCTTTGAATCAAAAAAGCATCAACTGTTTAACTTATCAATAATCGATTGTCAAATCACATGCTATCAAAACGCCGTAAAGGTGCACCAAGAGTGGCAACAATCTGTGCGACTTAGGTTCGCAAAAAAAACGAATAATCGTACTATTACACTACTCGCTAAAGCTCGCATAAATAAATAATATCGGAAATACTATGGATCACTATCGCTTTCGAGCCCATGGATGCCTTGATAACAGGAGAGGGCATAGCTTAGTTTCATCCTACCGTATGCACTCTAGAATGAGCAAGTCTGGACACCAGCCCAACTTGATTAGTTAAGTCGAACAGCTCAATGGCTACGAGTTTGTTCCGCTTCGTTTAATTATGCTTAAAATAATGTCTTCAGATCCGCCATACATTCTGCCGTAGATGCTCCTCGTCCGACGAATGAGCCCTTTCTCTCGTAAAAACCAACCAGTATATTTCCTCTTTTCACACTGGAAGACGATACTGAATAATCGATGAGCTAATGCGAATTTGAGACACAGAGGCGAAGCTGAGCGTCGCACCACTTGCGATACAACAAATAAAGGATGAAAGCAACATGACGCTCAAAAATTAGCAATCAGAACTTCGAAAAATGTTACAATTAACGCAGGAAGTGGAAAAAAATATGTTTTCCAGTTTAAATTTATTAGAGGTCCTAGTAGGTTTGACTGAGGGCAATCAAAAATTGGTGACAGAGTCTTATCGATATCAAAAGTACTGCCGGACATTTGTAAGAAAAAAAAATCAGTAAATAAGATGAAACTCAGACGAACATTTTCGTCAAGAAAAATTGCATGTGAAAAGATTTACTAATTATATTATATTTCTTTAAAAAATACTGAAAAATTATATGATTTCAAAAACTAATATGCGAAACTAGAAAAGAATCACTTTCGAATGACAAAAAACTCCACCAACGATTCTGACTATTACACAGACGAATGACAGACTGTTTTTAATTATTTTTCAACTTTTTCAAGAAAAAACATACATTATCTTAGAGCTGTTAGACATACAGGAACTAATCATGGTTGAAAAATTTAGCGATATAACGAATCAAAATTGCAAAAAAAATGAATCAATATGTATTTTTTATTCTGCTGGTGAATAACCTAAAAAAATCACTTTACGTCGATTTTAATAACTAAGTCGTTCAAGTATTTCAAACTTAAGCGTTAGCAATCAAGCTTGACCGCCAACTACTTCAAGGATGTTTTCCTCGAAAAATATGACCCAAATAAGGGCCTTCACTTCTTTAATTGAAAATAAAAAACATCTGAGACCTAAAAAATAAGATTCACTGGCCTCCACTAATTTACCAGATGGCTTACGGGATAAAAGATTACATTCACGTATATTCATTCTGTCCTTAGATTTAAAGGCTGCACAGATTGCGCCATAATAAAGCGGATAAAGCTAGCGCATGCTTTTTAATTAATGCATACCCTTTGAAAAAAAAGCGATTTGCTCTAAACTGGTCGACTTCTGATGAAAAGGTGGGCTATCTTTTAGCACTTTCTCACAAACTTGCCTGTGCAACAAAAACAGGAGAGAGCACCATTGGTTTACAATACAAAAAAAATCGACTTTTCGAATCATAATCTGTCAAATCACTCAAATTAATCCTTTCCAGAAAAAATGTTTCTAGGACTAATCCCCCTTTAAAATTATGACGTGTACCTTATGTTAATAAACTAGATTTTAGTAGTATATGAGAAATGCTTACCGAACAAAAACTTAAGATAGAAACCTTGTCCTCAAATCTTTTGTGTTTTCGCTTAATTAGCTTCGATATTTGATATGACAATGTTCAAAAACAATTTAAAAACCGGTTTTCCTTGAGGTACTCATAATCAGCTGGAAACAACGCTACGACCATAGTTTTTCCAGTATATTTGAGACGCGGTCGGAACAATAAAAAGGGACTCAAACTCTGAGCTCCATCAAGCAAATCAAGTGCCTCGAGTCTTCATTTTTTTAAATTCTGGCAACAAAAAGTCTAGTACCCGATAACAATACACTTGCTTTTCTATGTGAAATCAACTAAAACCCATGTATAAGCCGAAAAAAACTTCAGTTTTTTACCAAGGCAATTGAAATAAATGAAATAATGCACAAACGAGTAGTAAAAAATGAATAGCTTAAATAACATTAACAATGTTCTAGAAGAACTTTTTAACATTGACTAAAAATAACTTGTCGTAGCCACTTAGCCATGGCTCATCACCTAGAACTACTTCCACATAATTTTCTTCGATACGACTCAGAAAAGAATGCGCTTCAATTAAGATACAGCAAGCTCCCCAGCAAGACAAAAACGATAAGACAAAAAATTGTCAATAAAAATACAGCTTGCCCAAAAACTTCATTACAAGCAACTAAAAATTGGATTGTAGTCAATCATAATTAATTGATTTATTCGAACAAAAACTGACTTTTATTTTGAATTAAAGTCAACTTTCGAATTTCACAAGGAAACACGTAGCCAACAGACAGGACGGAAGGAAACAGACGCAAGGAAACAGAAAAAAATTATATGGCCTTAAGGCTTTCTGAATTTCAAGAAGAACTTAAGCTTGACACTTCTTATCATAAAATCAACCCACTTTCAGAAAAATGGATCAATAAGTAAATTTAATACACAGGTGAAGCTGGGCTTCGCACCACTTGCGATACCAATAAAATGGCAAAGTTCAAAAGATAGGTCTCAAACGAAAAGTATGAAAATAAACGTATTGAATAAATCGTAGGTGTAAAAATAAGGAAAAAACATCTTATTTCAATTTTTATGTAAAGAAGGGCTGGGGCTACACAAAGTTCATTCAGTTCTCTTTCATAACAAATAGATGGAAACGATAAGAAAAAACCCTTAATTCAAGTCAAAAAAATTCTGAAAATCATACAACCAAACAACTTGCATGTGCTAGAGGCAAACTTGAAGATAATAAACGGCCCGTTGCTTGCTATTAACTAAGATTACAAGGAAAAAAGGAAATTGAAAAACCAGGAAACAAAAAAAAATGACCACAAAATTTTAACAAAACTGTCACAAAAAACAACTAGCAAAAAACCTTGAAAACTTTAAAAAATTTTATAAAAACCTCAAACTTATAAAACACGAAAAATTGAAAAGAACGATTACAACAAAAAATAGGCCCGTTAATGAATTTAAAAAAAAATCTTTATTTTTTAAACATTTCAGTCGAAATTTCATAAACCTAAAACACTTCAAACTTAATAGAACTAAAACTAGCTCAACGCATTTTTGTACAAACAATTATATGCCAAAAATCGAAACAATTGAAAATTAATTTAAAAAAATCTAACTGAATAAAATCTTAATATAATTTTTTTCTACCAGAAAGTTTTGGAGTGTAAAAATACTAGTAAACCATGATTTGCATTTACCCTCTTCAAAAAGAAACAAAATTGTTTAACAATGGTAGGAAAGGCGAGCATTATAGGCGATAAATTGCTCAACAAAATTTTTTTATTTTACGTAGTAAAATGAAATCTTTAAGTTCGAAAGATTATTTAGCCTTCTAACCTCTATAAATAACATTCAAATAAGCGCTCTAAGGAAAACAAAGCTGGTAAAAAATAGATGTTAAAAACAAAGCGGAAACTAAGCCAACAAAAAAAACGAAAGCGACGAAGCCGAAAAAATCAAAAATTACCAAAGAAATATCGTTTTAAAAAAATGAACTAGAATTTTTTGGAAACAAGGATGAGCAAGGGAGTAATAGATCAACGAGCGCAAAAAGGACGCCAATACTGCATGTTTGTCGTCTACGCAAAAAAGTCAAACCGAGAAAAAATTCAAAATAAAGCGTGAAAAAAATTCCGAAAAACAAGACTTTTCCGAAAAAAAAAAAACAAAAGAAAAAATCACCAAGACCTATATAACAGAAATCACTACGTTCATGATCCTTAAAACTATATGGCCTCAAAACTTCTTTAAAAAAAGAAGGCTGACATAATTTTCATAAAGTTAACTCCATTAGAGAAAAATGGATCAATAGGTTAAACTTTTATTCCGCAGCGAAATCTGGAAATTTAAACCCACTCGATCATTTAAAAAATCGAAATTAGAATTTGATCAGGTTTTCTGTGACTTTTGCTGTTCAATGGTTTAGTTAGCCTTCCTTTCAACAAACGAAATGAACTTAAGAAATCAAAAATCAAGCCGCGGAAAAACCAAAATTGAAAGTGAACAATTTGAAGACTTTTCCTAAAAAAAAACCAACACGACCTATATAAGAGCCTGAACTACATTCTTCGACTCTTTAAAATGTGGGCTAAAAACTTTCTGTTTTCAAAGAAGTAGTGGTCCTGGCTTCTTAAACTTAACAAAGTGTGTGTTGCGTTAGGCTGAAAAAACAATACGAAATTTGATGAACCCCAAAAAATGAAGCTGAGAATTTTCTATTTAAAAAAAATACTGGTCCTGACTGAGTTCAATTTACTTACTCTTGTCCAAACCATGGGCGTTGCCTCTGCGCTATAATCCGAACTTCATTTGTGTATAAAGGAAGTTACAAACGATTCAGACTCTTCGATAAAATTTAGCTACTAAAATATTTGTTCCAACTTGATAATGGATATTAATCACCAGCAAACAACAAAATCAAAGGTCAAAAAAATTAACCGGATCCTATTTAATTTAAGCAATAAATTTTCGACCATTGTTTTCGAAGCTATTTTCTAAGAAAAAATAACGGATTCTAGTTAAACATTTAGTTGGTTTTTGATGGTGGATGAAGTTCGGTTAAAATTTGCGCGCAATTTGTTGATATTACATGTTTATTTGTGCTAAATTGATGATCGCCAATCATTAAATCTTCCATGCTTTTGGCCATAAAGAACCTGTCTGGTTATTTGTTCCGTGTGTTAAGTGTTCATTTTTTATTATAAGGTTTGCACTTATTTTTTGGACATTTCTGATAATTTTCATTCAAAATTAGTTAAGCTTGGCAGTGCCAGCGAGTTTCAGTCCAAAAAGTTTTCACTTACATAAGTCGTGCTGGTTTTTTTTCAGAAAAATGTTGCGATATTGTTCACGCGCAAAATTTGTTTTTTGCGTTTGAATTTTAATTTCTGTTTTCAGTTCACATCATTTGTTTTGTTAAAAGTAAGGAAAACTCCACTATCGAAAATGAAAAGCAAAAAGGTCACGAAAGACGTAAATGACTTCTGGTTTCGAAAATGGACTTTGAATTTCTGATTTTCCATTGAAGCAATAAATTTAACTACTGATCCAGTTTTCTCTGAATTTGATTATTTTATGAAAAAAGGCCAATCAAGACAATTCTTTAAATTCAAAGAACTCTAACCTGATATAATTCGAAATTCGAAGAAAATTTCAGTCAATTTTTTTGGTTCTTTTATCCTTTTCAGCCATATGTCGGCGATACTTTTTTTCCTTATCAATGACTTAGCTGAATCAGCTCGGAGAGTAATCGAGCTGATGAGTTGCATGTTTACCACTCCTGAGACTTTTGTTTTTAAACGCCTGGGACTTTTTTACCACTTGGTGGTTATAAGCGCCGAGCGCCCACGCGATCCAACTTGCATAGTTTTTACAATATACCGAATTCTATCAAGTTGATTTCTGGTTATGAAACCTGTAGAACTTGGATTAAATTCAATGTAAACTCCTTTTTGCCTATTTGATTGGTTGGTTAGTCTACTTTTAACGTTAGTGAGTGCAACTACCGCTGGAGTTAACCAGGTTCGAGTTGCTATGAGAACTTTTTCTTTCGCACGCTCTGATCAAATGAACCACTTAAGCTAAAATATCACCATTTATGAAGAATTCGATCTTAAAGATTATTCAAAGCAAGCAGCTGTCTAATATCTCAAAAATTATCTGAAAATTCAATTTACTCAGCAGGTAAGATAAACAAAAATTGCAATCATTTGTAAATTGACAATGATAACTTTTCTACCGTGGAAACGTAACTCACATGTCGTTCAATGTCGTCATCTTCTTCCTCGTCAGCTGGGACGAGCGACTTCAGAGCAGCCTTGATCACGTCAAGGTCAAGGTCGGCTGACCCTTTGGTGCCTCCAGATAGAGTCGGAGCCTCGTCAGGTGTTCCAGCTGCTTGATTATCAGCAGATTTTGGAACTTTCTGGTTTTTATCATGTCCATTTCCTTTTCCGGCATCATTACCTTGTCCGTGCATATTTCCTTGCATACCCAATCCCTTCATAGACTGATTGGCACCCGCATTGGACAAATTTTGGTTTCCTAGGGGTAAATTACCACCCCCACGTCCTCCTCGCATAGAAGCAGCATATCCTCGATTGGAGTTATTAACACTTCTAACCACTTTATAACTTGTTGGACTAATAAGGTTTTCAGTTTCAGTAACAGGAGCTTCGGTTGAATTTCGTGGAGATACAATACTGTTTTGATTTTGAAATTCATTAGACTTAGAAGTTTGAACATTTTCAACGGAAGATTCAAATGATTGAGACAAATTAGAAGAATCATCCCAACTTTCTAAATTGACATCCTCGGCAAAACGGTTGGATACATTTTTATTATTTAATTTATCAGCAAAACTCGAATTATTTTTGAAACCATAACCAGGCTGTGCCTGTGAATTAGCACCACACATCATTGGTGGCGTCATTAGACGCACTGGATTAGGCAAAGAAACTTGATGCTGAAATCTCTGCTGCTGTGTAGGCATTCTAGCCATTGCAGTTCCTCCTCTTGACGCAGGCATTGTTGCATTTTTAGCCAACGGATTCCTAGAACGAACCGGCGATGGAACTCTAAATCTAGCCTGCGACATACCTTGTGCGTTACTCTGCCCAGTGTTAGATAAACTCGAATAATTTGCGGATACTTCGCCACTATTGCTGTAAGAAAACTGATTGCTATTTGGAGAAACGCCACTTGAGGTAATTTGACTCCCTTGTTGTTCCTCAGGAAACAATGGCTGAATAGCTACCATTCTTGGAGCGGGGAACCGTTGTTGACCTCCGCGACCGGCCGGGCGATATACTCTGGGATTGATAGCCGGTGTAACAAACCTTCCCCGTCCGGAGATATTTCCCGGATGCTGAACTGGTCGCGGTGATGCAACTTGATGTTGACTTGCCGGTGGATAACTTTGGCCAGAAAAATTTGACTGACTCAGATGTTGCTGCACATTGTCAACATTTGAGTTCTGCCTTGAATTGCTAGCATAATACGCCTTATTCCCGTCATTTTCATAATCCTGTTGATCTTTTGAATGTGGCGAATACTGAGCAATGTTGTCCGAACTGATTAACATCTTAGGATCCTTCTGGCTCTGAGTGTATGTTTGCTGGCGTTGCTGCTCGATAAATTGGGCAAATCCTTCATCCGAAGGGATTTGTTGAACTGGTTTCGGTTGATGAGTAGAAACAGGTGTATTTTGGACAATTTTAGCAGTTGGTGCAGCAATAGTAGGGGTAGTACCGGAATTAGAAGTTTGGTTGTGATGTTGGTAACGGTTAGCATTATTAACGTCCCGCAATACTTTTGCAGTCAGTTGTTTTTCGCGCAGCTCCACGTGAGCTAAGCTTTGTCTAAAAACAAATGTTTCTAAATCGGTCAGTCTCCACCTCCTCGAACTCGTGAGAAAACAGCTTTAACTATAATTGGTAATTTTTTCAGTAATAAAAATAAACAAACAAGAAAACTAAATTAAACCAATAAATCGAAACAAAAAATGAAATTAACGAAGAAAATAACAAATATTTGAGTGACAATCCCATTAAAATTTCGATTACTATAGTTATACCCAAAGAATTTACTAGTAATCAGATAATTTTGCACTGAAACCTAAATTCTTCTTAAATTTGCATGATTTGGAAGCCTTAACACTTCAAATTCCGCACTGCTGTAGAGAATGGGAGAGAGAGAGAGAAAAGGCTTAATTCCTTTAAAAGAATAGCAAATAAGAAAATGAATCTAAAAATGAAAAAAAAACAGCTGTTTACTAAGCCAGTGGCACAGAATGTTCTCCGACTATAGTAATAAAAAACACAAAAAATTTATAGGCCAAATGGAAAACGGTTTTTCTAATGGTGCAATAAAACTCCAAAAACTAACTTTTCTCGAGTAAAATCAAGTTTTCACAGCTTAATTCAAGCTTAAATAAGCTATTGTAAGCCAGCACGCTCACCTTATTAGCTCGAAATTAGACCTAAGATTAAAATTTTCAAACCGGTTTTTCTCGACAATGAGAAAAAATTTTCCATATTTTTTTATGCCGCTCACGACTGAAAGGGCTTTAATATGATATATCACTCGACCAACTCCGATGATTATTTGTGGTACCTGATTTTGCTTGGAAAAGAAACAGAAAAAATTAAAACACTTCAAATAAAAAAAATTCATTATTTTTTGCAGTTTTTTGAATTTTTGATACCAAAAAGGCGCAAAAATACTGAAAAACTTAACGTTACTCGAGTAAAACTAAGTTTTCACGTTTTGAATTAAGCTATTATAAGCTTTTTAGCCATTAAAATAAGCTATTGTAAACCCTTTATTTATTCGCTCGAATTAAGACGAAAACCCAAAAATTTCAAAACGGTTTTCTCGACAATGGGAACTTTTTTCGAAATTTTTTAATGTCGCTCGAGTCAAGACTCTAACGGCTTGAATATGATATATCACTCAACTCTCTCCAACGATTATTTGTGGTAACTAATTTCGCGTGAAAACAAAAAAAAAAGAAAACTAAAACATAGCCGAATACCAAGTTTCTCCCCATTTTTCAAATGGTCGGAACAATAAACCTAAAGGCTAAGAAACATTTTCATATTGTTGTCGTTCAGACATCATTGTCTTACAGAAATTTCAATATTGCGCCATTTACATACTTTCAGTATATTTAAGTTTCTTTAAGCTCATTAATTCTATCGTTTTATGTTCATTTTGTCTGATAAGTTCTATGCTTAACAAGACAACCAGTTTCGGTCAAATAACCAACCCAAAAAATTTTCTCAAGTCGCCCGTGACGCCAATCTACACTTAAACCGAGGGGATAGCGCGCATCAAAACAGCTCAAAGTTCTGGTCAAAAGCTTTCAGAAAGGGCCCAAAAATCTCGTGAATTTTTGATGAAAAAGGGTCTTCACTATATTTTATAGAAGGTCAACTAATTTTACACGATTTGAAAACTAGTTTGAATATCGACCCATCAAATATATCAGATATCCACCGCTGCAGGAACTCTAATACGCTCCAGTTGAATTTAGTCCGCTGAAAAATTTCAGGAAACTTTCTGAATTTCATGAATCTTTTATGATGAACAAAAAATAACCCATTTAGAAAAATGGATCAAAAGCTGATTTTAACATTATCAAAAATTAGCAACCGCTTTTGAAAAAGTCAGGCTCTATTTTCTCGAGCCATTTGCACATTTGTTATAAGGAGCACAATGTCTTCCATTTATCAAATAAACTTGAAAAATATGAATCACCAAACTCAAAAACATCGTTCATCAGCACTAAAAACGACAAAAACCTATTCAGATATAACTTCAATAGACAACCACAATATATTAGATCAATTTTTATGTTTTCATGTTTGAAATTTCATGTTCTCAGACTAATTTCTGCTGTTCCCTTACAGTTTGCTTTGGTCGGAGTAGAGATATTCTTCGAATTGTCAATCGAAAACCTTTATTTCGAAGATATTTCATGCAATTGTTCAAATAGACCTACTTGCTCAGACAAATGCACGATTCTCGTAGTCATCAAATAAAAAACCTATTTTCTAGCAGGGTTATACTGAGTTCTAAACGTACACTTTAAAAACGGAAATGCTACTTTTACCAAAATATTTTTAGTTTGAAGAACAATTTGCTTAAGCTAGCACTTTTCTAGAACTTAAAGTCTAATAGATCCAACGCAATTTTAACTACGAGCTGTTTTTTGGAAATAACTCAGTTCCATTTGAATAAATTTTCTAAATTTAAATAACCCTGAAGCCAATTCTTCTAATTTACTATGATAAATGCTAATTCTACGAAAAAAATTGATCAACAAAGACTTAATGCAAAAATTCCAGATACGCGATCAAAAGTATGGTCAATATCATGATAAGCAAACCATTTACTCAAAAAAATTGCGGAATCCATTTAAAAGTTTTCGTAGCTTTTGAATTCGAAATCAAATGAAGTGAAATATCATGGCCTTTGCCGAAAGCAGACATTCGGAGCAATTGGTAAAAATCTCTGTTTTCGATATAAATTCTGCATTATAAAGCTATTCAGACGATTTTTAAAAAGCTTGGATTACGCTGCGGTTACTGACCGATTGTTTTTCGGAGTTGCCGTAGGGGCTCGTGAAGTGAACTAGGCCCTAGTTTCAGAAACTTCGGCCCACCAGACCCACAGGTCTAATGGGTAGTTAAGTTCAGTCCGATTTTTAGGCAAGTGAATGGTTGAAGGGTATAGTGCTGGGAGCAGGACTGTCAGGACAGTTCGCAAGGACATTGGGTTAATTTTGTTGTTGAGGGCATTTAAAAAAGGAATGTAGCCAGTTCTTAGCTGAGCTGAAGTGCTTTGTGTTAATAGAGGGAGCATTTCCTCGGATGAGGAAACTTGAAGAGGGCGCAGAGTGAGGACTTTGGGTTGGCCTTCATTACGTGTTTTATATGGATTGGTTTTGGTTGTTTACTTGGATGGCCCTGATTATGTGTTTTGTATACATTATTTTGAGGAGTTTATTTAAAATTTAAAAACGAAGTTACTTATGTCTCTGTTATTTTTTAAAACACTCTGACCTCGGAATTTGCTTTTCTCGAGTTTGCCTTCAAAAACTGATTTAACAGTTGGTTTGACAAGTGGAAATCATCGGGATAAGATTGAAGTTATACTTCTGTAGGTCTCAGAGGATCATCGAAAATGTGGAAATTAAAGAGTGTGAACGACAAAATTGAAGACTGAAACAAACTCGAAGAAACTTTGCTCGGACAATCTTGCCAGCGATAGATGGTTTCTCAAAATGTTCCTAGCGTGGCGCTCAGCAAGGTATTTTCAAAGCCAAGAGTGGCTAGTATCGTTCGCTTTGGCAGTGTTTTTATGATAAACTCATTGCAATAATTTATTAACCTTCCCAAGACTCAAGACAAAAATCGTTGGGATAGCAAATTAACCTTCGCAAGACTTCGTTAAAACTCATTGGGATATTAAGTTAACCTTCTCGAAAAGCAAGCCGTAAAAACAAAGAAAATATACGAAGTCAAGGTTCGTAAAATGACAAACAGCAGAAGTAAATCAACACACTAATACCAGCTATTACGCAGGGGCGGATCTAGGATTTTCTCGAGGGGGCGGATTTTCAAAAAAAAATTCGAAAATTTTGACGACCTTTTTTTTTAGGTCGACCCAAATGATTTTCGAGCTCTCCCAAAGCAGAGCCCCTATTTTGGCTAAATTGTTTTGCCCCTATTTTGGCTAAATTTTCTGCGCCGCAGGCAAATTTTTGAAAAAACAGTCAAAAAAAGCCGTTTTTGGGCACTTTTTGAAAAATTTTGAAAAAAAATCGCGCCCCCCTCCCCTAAATCCGCCCCTGATATTACGTATAGGAAAAACACAATTCTATAATGTGGCAACTAAGCTGACAAAACATATGCAGGCAAATAATGAGCCGACAGTTTTTTTGAAACAGAATTTCTCCGATTTGAAAAAAAAACAAGTCCTGTCAGATTCGAACCAGGACCTTTGCCATCCCAGTCGTATTGGTTAGCTCCAAACCAACTGTGCCGGAGACGCAAAGAAATTTGAATTCATTGTGAGCTGAACCTAAACTTACCATTTCTAATCTTGACTATTCTGTGAACAAAGTTATTTACGGGAAAAAAATTTAAAACCTGATTGCAATACACTTGCTGACCGCAAAGGTAAAAACTTAATAATATAATTTCATAACTTAATCCATCTAATATAAGTTGAAAAACAAAAATGACCCATAAATTAAATTCAAACCCGATCTTGTAACCAAACTAGACCTGGCTGCTATAACTACCGATTATGTTATTTGAATTTTCATGAAAATGATGAGTATCTCAGAAGTGATCAGCAGGGCCCGGAAAAGATTGCGTTTGCAATACCGCTATTGCAAACGCGATTTTTGCTTGTTTTTTTTCCGAGACGCAATGTTTATTGAAATAACGCAATTTTCACTCATTCTACAAGAATTAAACAAAATATATGGCATAATTCACAGTTCTCCCGCAAATTGTAGCGGCGAGCTAGCTTTTATAGCAGGAAATTTTAATTTCCTACCCTCGACTATTGATGCAATGCAGAAACGTCAGCCTTTAGCTGACGGTATAAAAATTTTCAGACATTTATATTGTTTTTCTCGTAGATTTTAGCCGCAAATATAACGCAATATGACACAATTTTAGGATTTTAAACGCAATTTGTGTGCAATATTTGGCGAAATTAGACGCAATTTATTGCTCAATTTTTGGCAAAATTTGGCGCAATTTTTTCCGGGCCCTGGTGATGAGTCACCTACTATGAGACATAATATTTCAAGCATGGGAATTGTTTCTATTAGATAAGCTGTTTATAGGAAAAAAATAGTGCCCAATTAAAACATACTCCTTCGAATTAGCAAGTTTAATTTAATGGGCACTATACTTTTTGTAAACTACCTGTCTAACAGAAACAATTCCCATGTGCGGACTATTTCCTCATGAGTGGTGACTCATCGTGAAAAAAAAATTGAATTCACCGGTATTTATTGCAACATGTCTGTCTAATTTAGTTACCAGTTAGGGTTCGGATTTACTTAGGGGTCAGTATTTTCTTTTTCAGTCACAAGTATTTGGCTGATACTCTATGGTCTTGTTTATAACTAGGTTGTGTAAAGGAAGAAGCTGCATTATAGTTTTGAAGGGGATACTAAAAAAAAGTCCGATTACATCGCAACATAAACACAGAGGTGAAGTGGAGCTTCGCAACACTTGCATGCAAAAAAAACACATTGCGCAACAAAATAGTGAATAAAAAAGACAGAAGTGAAAAAAAACTGGAAAACTACAGCTACAAAAACTTCATATTTGTATCAGATGTTCATAAACAGCCTTTTGAAGCGGATACTTAAAATAAGTCCGAATTAATCGTGACATTAACACAGAGGCGAAATGGAGCTTCGCAACACTTGCATGCAAAAAAGACATTGCGCAACAAAAAAAAACGGAACCGACAAGAACTAGAACGAAAACCAGGAACCCGAAAAAAATTGAGAATTTTCTTTTGAAAAGAAAATTGCAAATGAAATGGACTTGAACTAATTACTAGCTAAGTGATAGTTTTTACTTGAATTTTCAAGAAATTGAGCATTTCAGATGAAAGATCCTCTAGAAGTGAAGATCCTCCAGAAGTGATCAGTCTAGAACCCGACTGCAAGGCCTTTTTATCGCAAGGGTAATAAAGAAAATATTTAAATTTGAATTGTGAAGATGGACCCTTCCAGGAGATTTGTGAGTCAAAACCAAGATCCATACAGAATGAGCCAAAACCAAGACCCATACTTTATGTTACAAAAAGATTCGCTGAAGCCAAAATAATCTGCAGTCAAATATAAGTAAACGACCGAACATTTTAAATCGAACTAACTGTCACTTTTCCAATATTCCAAACTCAAAGCCTGTAAATCCTGGAAGCACACGGGCTGATCTGACAAGGTAAGTTGACATTATTTAAGACAGACAAAGCTGAGCTTCGCACCAAAACAAGGAAGCGGCTACATCAAAAAAAAATCGAAAATGTCAAAAAACTAGATCTATCGAAAAGAATTAGCATAGTTTTAAAACAAAAACGTGCCAAGACAAGGGAAGATAAAATAAGCATCGAAAGAAAATTATTCAAGCGGTAAAAAAATACCTTAGAAAACCTACTAAACTCAAACCTATTATTAAGTCCCCCTCACCCTCAAAACACACAAACTTTATTCGCGGGTGAAAGGAAACAATATGGTGCCACTAAGCTGATAGAGTATTTGCCGGAACATTTAAGCTGAAAATAAAATTGAAATAAAACAAAGCTGAAAAAATTCAAAAAATATTAGACTAATAAAAAAAGCTTTAAGTCCCCTCAGCCTCAAAGTACACACACAAAAACAACTTTTAAGCTCGTCGAACGGCGCAAAATGAGGTTACTAAGCCGATGAAATGTAAGCCGAAAGCAATTAAGTCGAAAAAAAAGAAAATAAAAAAGCCGAAAAAAATCAAAAACATTTCAGACAAATAAAAAGTTACCAATTTCCTCTCGCGCTCAAAACACAAAAAATATATATCACACGATTTAACGCGATATGAGATCACTAAGCTGATATGATATACGCCGCAACCTAACAAGCCGAAAAGCAAAAGAAAATGAAATTTTAACAAATCGAGTTAAAATTACAATCAACATAAAAAGATAAAATCGTATAGGACAGATATTTAAAAAACTAACATGCAGAAAAAAAACTAATTTGTATCGGTAAATCTGCTGCTCACAGAGGTTTCCAGGAAATGAGTCCAGATGAAAAGAGAGAGTCCTGTGCCTGAAGTAATTTACGGGACAAAAAATCTAGTACCCGATTGCAATACCCTTGTATATCGCAAGGGTAATTGATGTTTGGTTGAAAGTCAGGAAATACAAATTAAAGGCAAATTTTATGTTTTGACAATGAATTCAAAATAAAAAATTAAATTCCCAATTAGAATAACGCTTTAACTTATCGGGGAACAAAATTTTTCAAGAATCTTCAAGAACATAGAATAAGACTAATTGAATCTCAGTCACTAAAAAGAAAACTATCACTTCCCCAAAACCTTAAAAATTGATATAGTTTAGGAGAGAGAAAAATCATACAACCAAGTTGTAGTCTTGAGAAACATTAATCAAAAACTTATTTTGTTAGCTCATGATTTGCTATATATTAAAACCCACGGTACCAGGCCATGATTTAGACCCAGGGACCAAATGCTACCAAGCCATGATTGAGAGCTGCAAAAGACGTTCCAAATCTTCGTAGTTTTCGAAAAATTGCTATTTCAAAATTTTAGCATTACATTAAAAAAACATAGCAGCAAATAATTATTTATTTATTTTTGTTTCAAATTTGTTTCTTGATTTTTTATAATAAATACTATACTTAAATTGTCTTCAATACTTTCAGCTGTACTTCAATAATAATAGATAGCTCCTAGTTGTTTCAAATTAGGAGAAGTTAAGAAAGATAAATAATTTTTATTTTTCCTTTTCTAGTAATAGTTTGGTATATACAGGTTGTAAATCAACCATGGGTAGATTCTCATTAGAAATGCTTGTCCGTTATCTATCCTCTCCATTTATTGTATGTGTTTATTTTGATTGAAGTTACAAATTGAAATAAATTCACATTTCTGGAGAAATAAATTCTTCTTCTTCGAAATGAGTGAGCTTTAAATTATAAAACTGACGGACCAAAATTTAAAGAAACCCAATAATATCTCTACTCACTGCAATTCTTTGCGTATGTCCTCCAGTTTGCCCCTGTAGTTCTCGTGTTCCTCCGAGTACTTGTGCAGCTGGCTCTGGTCCGGGTGGTCTCTGTTGGCCAGCAGCCACTGTTCGAAGTCACTCTCCCACTTGGAGTACTGGCTCTCGAACTGTCTCTGCTTCTCCAGTACTTCACCCTTTTCAGCCTCCATCTTCTGATACGCCGCGTCTATAAGAGCAAAATTGTCGATTTCAAAATAAGAAACCTGAATCTAGATAGTTAATCTCAATGGCTAAAAACACTTGAAAATCCAGTCAGTTTCAACAGGTTTTAAACAAATTTCTCTGGGTCTCCTTGACATATTCTATGCTTTCTCCTTACACTTCGGTCTAAGCTTGGAATCTAAAGGCAAAATGTCAATCACAAAAACAGTGTCATAGAATTTACTGGCAAAACAAAAATTTTTTTATATCTACAGGCTTTGAGAAAAAACAATTCATCTCGAAAAGCTCCTCCGTACCTAACTATTGACACGAAAAACAGTTGCCTCACTTTGAAAGTTCAGCGACCAAAAATTTTCCAGATGTAAAATTATTGTCATGACAATTCATGACACACCATACTACTCTGTGACATAACCATGACATCTTGTCAACACCCTAATAATAATGACTTGACCTTAAACATTTCAAATAGAACTAACTTTCTTTCAGCGCCTTCACAACATCAGCACGAAGGTTTAAATTAGTCACAGCTTCGGCTACCATCGCCTCCGCTCCCCCATTTGTCGGCGGTGGTGGTGGTTTAGACTCTGTCGAGGGGGGTGCCATAGGCGGCGGAGGAGGAACAGGTTTCGGAACCGCGCTTTGCAAGGTCACTGCCGCAGTAGAATTATACGTTTGAACAGGTGTAACATTGGGCATTGGAGGCAGCATTTGGTTTGTCATTTGCATATTCATCTGTGCAAATTGGTTGAAATTGCTCATCGGCTGGTTTCCCATGTTTGAATCTAAAATTCCAGAGTTACTCGGCACAAACTGTTGTTGTTGTTGTTGTTGCTGCTGCTGCACTTGCTGTTGATGTGGTTGTTGGTACGACTGGTTGTAATTTTGGTGGCCGAATTGATTTCCATGGCTTTGAGCTTGGCCTGCATAATTTTGCGACTGAATTGCATAATTCTGGGATAATTGCTGATGCTGATTTTGTTGTTGATATCCAGAATTGTACTGTTGCGCATGCGTCAGCTGTCCTTGCAGCTGGGGCGTCTCATTCTGATACATTTGCAAAGTTTGATTTTGGGTATTCGGCTGTTGGTAACTTTGACTGTAGTATCCACCAGCAGAATGCTGATTTGAAGGTTGTGACGTTGGCATGTTTTGATTAGGCATCATCTGTTGGGCCTTCACAAAAGGAACTTCTTAATACTGTGATTCAATTTTACAACTCCAAGTTTAGAATTTGCTCTGTCAGTAATGCTTAAAAAACCAACCTGATTATTGAATCCAAACTGCGGAGGATAAAAACCTGCCATCGTTTTCAATCTAAAACTATTCGCTCGATAAAAGCAAATTCAGGAAACCGACATCTAAATGGTGTCTAAATTGCTGAATTAGGTAAGTAAACTTGAAATTAATATTTGGCGAGGAAGTTTTAATGGCATAAAAACTTAATCATTGGGTTTATTAGTTTCGGTTTAAATTGTCGTTAGGTTGGGTTTTTCATGAAAATCAACCCAAGAAAAGAAACCTTCGCTTTATGATGTATTTAATTTTTTTGTTCACTTTATTTTTTATCAGAGCTTGGTAATTCTTACAGAAAAATTTGCGCAAACGGAAAAGAAACAAAATGAAAACTCGAGCTTGCAATCAATGCGCTTGGCACTATGTCACCTAACACTGCGTATAAAAACTGGAAACTTGATAAAAACTGCTTCATACCACTTTTTCAAAGTTGTTGGTCCTATCATAACATATCGTCGGTAAAAATAACATATCGTCGGTAACGTCACCGAAAGACATCACAACAACGGGTAGAGCTAAATACTTGTGGAGAAATTGGATTCATTCTCTATTATTGTTGGTAAACGCTTATATTAGAGTGCGTTTCCGAATACTCTCAAAAAAGTTGTTGTTCCTCAGCTCAAATGCAGATATTTGTATCAAAACAAAGTCAAATCATATGGTTCTGTAACAAGCATTAAAAGTTTTTCAAAACAAATTGAAAACATCCATTTGAAGAACATAATTGACTATATATAAAACAAGAATCACTAGACCCAAATCAGTTTGCATAAAAGAAGAGAGAGCATTCTACTGAAACAGCAAAAATGAAGATAGAAATTTCAATCGGTCTACCGCTTGACAAAAAAGCCCCACGATTTTGTTGTCGTAATTTATCAGATAATTTTGATACAGTTGACCAAAAAACTCTGTAGATGATACTTCATAAACATGCTGGGATTATTGCAGATGCAGTCAAAATGATAGCATCGCACCTAAAGAAAGAACAATCTATGAAAATCAATGGGGCTTGATCAGAGCAACTTTAAGTTAAAATATGTATAGCGCAGGGTTCTCTGCTCGGACCGATATCATTTAACCTGTACCTTAATCCCAATGGAAAACTATTGGAGATCCTCTCAATGAGCTACCAAAAACAAGAACACAATACAGTATCGAAGGAAAATGAAACGAATTACAGAATGGTTCGAAAGATACAAGCACTAGCTCACACGAGGAGAAACTAAAATTATGCTTCCTAACTTGAAAGGAACTTCAGTCAATTGTACAAGCCCTTACTTCTTCTCGTATTACCATTGGGGAGTGTTTCTTTGTTGTTAGAATTGAGTGTCTCGATTTGGAGAGAAAATCCCGTTACACTGAATCGCATCGTTCGGCTGTTCAAAGAAGCTTTTTTATCTGGAAACAACTGAGCTTTAACTCAAAGTCTATACTGGTTCGCTTTCTGATTAACAGCCTTGTCTATAACTGCAAAAATAGGTACCACAACCGATCATCAGGTAGGGTCAAGTGATCAACCATTTAAAAACTCTTTCAGTCGTTTTCCATTGTCGAGAAAAACCGTTGAGAAACCGGTTAAGCACGGAGCCAAGCGGAGCATCGCAGAACTTACGATACACCACATATGCATATAATAAAAGCTGCTGGCTAAAAAACTTAGCTGGCAACACAACGGTAATTAGGCACGCAAAACATAGGTAGTAAGTGGTCTAGCGAGCCGAATAAAAAACACCTTGAAGCTTATTAGCTGAAACTTTACAAAAGGTTATATACAGCACTCTGAGAAGGTAAAATTACCTGAAGTGACAATCGACGTATGGTGGGAAAAAGCCAACCAAAAAGAAACAGACAAGCAATAGTCCGAAAAAAATTTCTACCAAAATATATTAAAATCGGGTCCAGCCAAAACCCCAGACCCTGGGCTCCCAAGGCTCGCATTTTACACTATACTAAAAAATATGGGTTTGAAACTATATTTTTAACACCCCCTAAGACTATCAAATTAACACCCCCCTAAGAGGATTCAGCATGAGTATTAATCGCAAAATCGTAGTCCAGATTTTCTCTAGAGAAGTAGCTTTAAGATACAAAAATACCGAAAAAAAATAAACTCATACAAAATCTAGCAAAAATTGATTAGCTAGGCAAAACAGTGAAATTTCGGACCACTCGCAACACAAACATAAGTTCTAATAAAAAACTAAGGTTATCAAGAACTTAATTTAGTATTTTTAATTTTTTTCTGAGATATTTGAAGTTAAAACCAGTACGCAGCAATGAAACAACTCATCGACTCCTTTTCCTGATATCCGCTTATCTATTTGATACACTCCAACCAAAAACAATCATTTGATTTGAGTGAAACCAGCTAGAAAACCTTCCATTGTATCATAACATAGGAAACATTGTCAATAGATATTGCAGAAACTTTAATTGACTAAAAGAAAAAAAAAACATTCGATTTGGTTAACTCCTTAACGATTGACTTTTCTTAGCTAAAACAATTTAAAAAAATCAATGGGTATTTTTTTACTCTCTTGGGAATTTAGTAAATTAAAATCTGCGTTTTAAAGAAAAAAAGACCTTGTTTCCGCGCCATTAGCGATTTGCTATTAAAGACCGAAACTTAAGTCGAATTATTTCCAAAAAATTAAACACCAAAATTCGTTATTAGAACTCGGAGTACTCCGGAAGGCAATTAAAACGTTTGATTCGCTGCGTTGAAAAATAACAAAAAAGATAGTTCTTTTAAAGATTGCACTGAACTCGATTCAAAAATTACATTCATTTTTTAAAGAAGCTACGACGTATCAATTTTGTTATGAATCGAATAAATCTCATAATTAGCAGTGAGTTTACGCAATTGAACAACGAGTGTTCAGAATTTCTGAACACCAATAGGTTTTCTTTGTTATTTTTCCGACCATCTGAAAAATGTGAAGGAATTTGGTATTCAAGTGTTTCAGTTTTTCCCTCGCAAAAATAGGTACCACAACCGATCATCAGGTAGGGTCAAGTGATCAACAATTTAAAAGCCCTTTCAGTCGTTTTCCATTGTCGAGAAAAACCGTTGAGAAACCGGTTAACCAGGGAGCCAACCGGAGCATCGCAGAACTTACGATACACCACACACGCATATAATAAAAGCTGCTGGCTAAAAAACTTAGCTGGCAACACAACGGTAATTAGGCACGCAAAACTTAGGTAGTATGTGGTCTAGCGAGCTGAATAAAAAACGCCTTGAAGCTTATTAGCTGAAACTTTACAAAATGTTATATACAGCACTCTGAGAAGGTAAAATTACCTGAAGCGACAATCGACATATGGTGGGAAAAAGCCGATCAAAAAGAAACAGACAAGCAATAGTCCGAAAAAAATTTCTACCAGAAAATATCTCTTAAAAATCAGGCCCAGCCAAAACCCCAGACCCTAGGCACCCAAGGCTCGCATTTTACCATTATACTAAAAAAATAAGGGTTTGAAACCTTCTGCGGTTTCATAAGATATCAAGATCAATTTCGTAGACTTGCAAAAGTTGCTTAAGGTTAAAAAATGTTGTTTTCGATCTAAAGAGGAATATCGTATTGACAAAAAACCCCCGCCCCTAATAAGGATTCAGCATGAGTACTAATTGCAAAATCCCAGTCCAGATTTTCTCTATACAAGTAGCTTTTAGATACAAGAATACAGAAGAAATTTATTCAAAACCTAGCAAAAAATGATTAGCTAGGCAAAGCAGAGCAACTTCGGACCACTCGCAACACAAAGATAAATTCTAATAAAAACTAAGAAGAAGTAATTTAAGTACTTTTTATTTATTTTTTTGGAGATATTTGAGGCCAAAGCCAGTACGCAGCAATGAGCCAACTCATGGACTCTTTTTCCCGATATCCGCTTAATTATATGATACACTTCCTAATTATATGATACACTCCAACCAAAAACAATCTAAGACAGTCAAAAAAATTTGATTTGACTAAACAGCTACAAAAATTTTCTATTGCTCTAAAAACATTGCCAATATCGCCAGCGGGTCTTATCCGAGACATAGCCAATTTTGTCTTCGAAAACTGTTGTCCATGTTGTCTTTTTTACTATGACTGTCGAATAAATTGAAACTTTTGGTTCAGATGCTTTTATCACACCATGCAGAAAGAAAAAGTTTGCGTGTTTTTTAAGACTATGATCGGAACATTCTGTGCTACTTACACAGTAACCGGCTTTTTATTCATTTTACTTTGTAATTCACGATATGAAAATTACCGAAAAAGTGGGTTGTTTGAGCCGTGACCCCCCCCCCCCCCCCCCCCCCCACCCCCTCCCTTAACCCTCTACTGCGCCAAAATATACCATTGCTATCGTTTTGAATGGGAGGTCGCGCCACGCCAAACGCATTTTTTTGTATTTTTGGCCGGCATTTTTGGCTTGTTTTCCTTTTTTTTTAATTTTTTATTCATTGGATAGTTTTTTATACATTGGAATGTGGCGCAGTCTTTACAGTTTGCAGGGAGAGCTCAGAAAGTCAATAGGGCAAAAAGGGCGACACCCACTGCTCTCGAGAAAATACTAGATCCGCGCCTGAACCCAAGAAATTCATCCATCACTGCTGTCAAATTAAAAACTGAAGTCTAAATTCAATCACCACTCTTTGAAAATAAAATTTAATACAATTCGTAGGTGTACCACATACAGATCCTTCATTGACTGGTTTTTATATTCTTAATATTTACAGCAAGCAGTTTATTAAATTCAGTGCTATGTACTACTGTGTCTCGCTGATTGATTCGAAATTTTGATGCTTCAGTCCACTATTTTTAGATATTGCACCACCAACAACTCAAAAATAGCCGAGCTGATGCGACAGTTTTGTGTAATAACATTTTTGTTCAAAAGTTACACAAAGTTATTTTTAAAATACAGCACCTCTTAGTAAAAAAAAATTGACGTTACGAACCATTAAAAACGTACCTAGAAAAATAGAACTAAATTGGAAAGTACTTTCGATGTTGACCACATGATCAACCAAGTTTTAGGCTGTTGAAAGTATTGCGACATAAATTATCAAAGATAAAATGTTACAAATATTGGCCAATTCTAGAAGAATCAAATTTGGAGATCTGATTAAATACAGGGTAATGAAATGTCTAACTGCCTGTAAAACATATAACGATAATGACGCATCATACTATAAAGTGGGGTGCTAAATTTCAAGTTAACCAAATAAGTTGGATAACATTTGATTCAAGAATTAGCGATTCAAGAATAATTTTGAAGGAACGAATAGTCTAGTGCACCTCAGAGATTTCTGAGCAAAATTCATATCGCACATTTAACATTTAGAAACAGTAGCGAATTTAAGGGGGACCTGCACTGGACCTAACACCCTCCCTCCCAGACAGCAGATTTTTGCCCTGAGACTGAACTCCCCTTTGGTACTATTTTTGCACTGAGTCTGAGCTTCGCACCACTTGCGATACAAAAACAAAAGGCCGCGAGGTCGAAAAAACAATAGATTATGCACGATAATTCTCGCCACCTGTTTCTTCGACTGAACACTCAATCTCAGATTTGGCAGGGTAGTTTTTGAGAAAAGTCAGAAGTCAAACAGCTTCCAAAAACGGTCCCAAAAACAAACAACCTTAACTTTGCCGAAGGGTATCTCTTTTTGCTTTTTAAAGAAGGGCATACCAGCTTATCCAGCATAGAATTCCAAAATCTGTTATTCCAAATGAACCATTATTATTTAATTGGAAGGGTAATTTTTGAAAACAGTCAAAAATTTCGTAAAAAATAGTCTTAATTTCAAAAATTTGACTTTTCCCGAGGCAATAAGTTTTTTCTTACAAAAAATTCCAATTCGCCAATGCAGTGAGAATTGTCAAAACCCTTTTTTCGACTTAACTTTTGATATCAGATTTAAAAGGGCAGTTTTCGATAAATGTAACAAAATTTCCAAATAAATATCAATTTGAATTTTCTGAGAAATAAAGATATTTTATACAAAAATGGGCGCGTAGCCGCTCACGCCGGTAGAATTACCAAAACCTGTTCTTTCGCGTGAACCTTTATTTCAAAATATGAGAGGGTTGTTTTTGAGAAAAATTGGAAAAACTTCAGAAAAAAATGACCGAACTGTCAAAAAATGGCCTTTTTGAGGCCAGAAATTTTTTATATTAAAATTAGGATGTAGTGGCTTAGGTAGAAGAAATCCCCACTACCTGATTTTGCCATTGAAGTCTTAATCTTAAATAAGGCATGGTAGTCTCTGAAAATGAATCCAATAAACGGCATTTTTTCATAAATTTACTTGCCACGCAGAGAAACTTAGCGAAAAGGGGTATTTTCACTGCATTTTACTGCGCTCTACCCCTCAATTCCGGTTTCATTGATTTTCTTAAGGGTCCTTCCTTCGGCACTTTTTTAGAAAAACCATTTCTGGCTTACCAAGTCAAAAAGTCTATAATTTTGCCAAACTTGGTGATCCTGGGGCAGAGTTCGGAAACTTCGAAATTGCCGATCTAAGAAATAAAGTCTACATTTTTCGAAGACCAGTCAAAGAACTCGAGTATGTCAACTGAATTAAAACGAGTTTTTTTGCCAGTAAAGTTAAAACTACGTTTCATGTCCATTGGTTGTGATAATATTACGCAAAATCCATTGGCTATTGCCATTTTTTCAAGAACATTCTTAAATTCTCACGAGAAACTCGGTTTTTTGTTGTTATTACTAGAACAATTTCAAGGTATAATTAAATTAGCTACGCCTTTTTCTAGAATCGATTGAATTAAAATGCTGGTTTCATTACATAACTCAATCCTGAGTTTACCATTCAATTAATATTTTATTTCATTATTTACAAGGATATAAATTTTAAACAAGGGCTGATATCTGATGACAGCTGAATACAAGGAGTACGCCTTGGGAACTTTTAATCAATTCAACTTAATCAGCTTGACAATGTTAAGGTCGAATTTCAGTGACCGGGTCACAAACTTGTCATGCTGTAATTGGTCGTCAGTCGTTTGAGTTCACTTTTATATTTGTGCTCTGTTTAATTGAACTCGGGCAGTAGTGCACAGTATGACTAGAACTCCCATGAAATTAGCTGTAGTAAAGAACCAGTTCAAGGTCCTTGCGCGTGAAGAGAACAAAGATAGATTGCCTTTAAAATGCGAAAGAAAATTAAAGGTAGACTTCAAGAAAAGCAGCTTTTTATGGATAGACTAGCCAAAAGTTCCTGCATCTGTTTTTAGCGTCTTTCTTTTTTAACAAGTGACGCCCGACATTTCATCAAAGTTAAAATACACTTAATTATGAATAAAGAAACTTTTTGATTTTGCTTGGAAAAATTGATCATTGCATTTTCACGACTTTATGCCAATTTAGATCGATTGACTTGGGTTCCTAAATCAATCATCAACACAGTGGAACTACAAAAGGATTAATTAATTTTTCAGACTTGCCTTATTAACTATTTGTAGAAATAGAAATTTTATAGAAAAATAAAAATGAATAGTATAGCACACACTTGACTGAATAACTTTCTAGAAAAAAGTAAAAAAAGGTAAATGCGAAATGTAAATTTAATTACTAAATCTACTCAAATAGAAAATTGACATCGATTCTCAATCAGTATTAGCACTATTTTGATATTGCAGCAATCTCGCGATTAATCAGTATTCTTGCTGCATTTGGCGTCTCTCGACCGTCAGTCGTATGGAGGAGTCTCGACCAGTGAGGAAATCTCGACGTGAGGTCAGAAATATTGCCTTAATGTCTTCGAAGTCCATTGTTGAGGTACTGGTTCCATTCAGGCTCAAAATACAATCTTGAGTCTAAAAACAAAACTCAACGCATAGTCTTCATAAATTTTCCACTGTCTCAACTATTACTCTTAACTATAAATTTAATCTGAACTCAAAACGTCCGGTTCATATATTTTTTGCAGCTGAGAAACTCAGGTTACTCTATGTTAGTTCAGAACGAGTAAGTTACCTTCAATCCAGCTGCAACAGCTGGCCCCTCTGGTGAGACAAACTTGACAACTGGTGGGTCACTTTCGGACAACACCATACCGAAACCGACGAAGTCACATTCAATCTGGAAAAGAATTTTAAACATTAAGAAGTGCAAGTTACAGTATCCAGAAAGCCATTAATACTAATCGCTTCTTAGAAGCTGAGAAATAAACATTAGGCAAGTAAGACTTGTAGATCAAACTCATTCTAAACTGAGAAAGGTATCAGATAATCATCAAAAACCAAAACAGTTGATTTAAAAAAAAACCAGCGAGTTACCTTCAGATCAAGTTGAGTAGCAATTTCAATTTCATTGCAAATGAAGCAGATACAATCATCCGACGACATACTGCGCCGCAGTGAATTCCTAGGGGTCTTGTTTCTTCTCAGAGAACTCCTGCTCCAAGTGGATGTATTTGAAAATTTATAATTTGGCGGTTTAATAGTTTCGAATTTGGAATCCATGATCATTTCGTGTGAAAAATTTTCCGGAATGACGGACATTATTAACGAGTCAAAAATCGCAAGTTCTTTTTAAAGATTTAGCTCGACTGAATTTTGAATTACAGAACAATCTAATGGTCAAAACGTTCACTCAACTTATGGCGCCAGATGCACTTTCACGAGAGAAAATCTAAAATTAAACTTACTATTCTAAAATCTCGGTGCGATCGTATTTGCATAAGCTTGCTCATATATTAATAGTAGAGAAACACAATAACGTCGCGCCAGATTAAACATGACGGTCACTTTTATACTGCTCTTATACTACGCTAAGACTACATTTGCCTAAAACTGACTTCTGTCAATGAACATTCGTGGGAGTTCTCGAGATATGGTGAAATGTGTTCACGTGAAGACAAACATAGTATTTCGCGGATCACAAGTGGGCACTTGCCAATCTTACTATAACGAATAAATAAAAACTGTTTCGCAAGACCCGAAGTTTAAAGCTACTCTGATGTTTGCTCAAAATCTTTGCCAAGAATGTGAGCCATTAGTCTTTCAATGACTACCGTCTGAGTTCAAGTTTAACTATAGTCTTACTTCAGATTTATGGCTCTACTAATACAACAGACTTAGGTTTCGCCAGACAAAATAATTTAACCTTATTTTTATTTAGCCGAGAAATATATTGAATAGATTGCAAACGTAACAAGACTGCTCGCATCAGGGCAAAGCCCTGAATGTTCCGACTGCCTTTTCAGTTTTATCGAGCAGTAGTAACAAAAAAATTAAATACAATAAAAAAAAATGAAAAAATTTTTTTCTAAAATTTGAAATTTTTTTATGAAATCAGCCCCCCACACGCCATATTAAATTTAAAAGAATAGATTTTGCTCATTGTAACAAAACAATTATGGCAAATAAGCTTCTTTCAACCAATGTGGAACGATTTAAAAGACGGATTAAATCTCCGCTTACGCGTTAACAGCGCGAAATATATCGCGCGTTAATTGTCCCAAATTGACCAAAATGGCAATCTTTAAACCCTCATAACTTTACAAAAAATGATCACAGGTGAAATATCTTTTCAAATTTGAGCTCAAGACAACAATACCTTTTGAATGATATAAAAAAAATTCCGTCAAAAATGTCTAGTTAAAAAGTCGAAATTTGTCTGAAGAAAAAAACCCACCCCGAGCACAAATACTCCGTCACTTTCGTATCGAAAGTCGGAACAATAATAACCAGGGGTAATCATAACAATTAAATCATTTAGGAATATTATACAAGCATTCAAGGGATGTTCTTCCAGTAATTTCATTAGCCAAAGAAACGCTCCAATTTTTCAGTACTTGAAAAGCTTCAGCAGCAAAATCATAAATGTCATACGCCGGAAGCCTTCCAACTTCTTTAAAAATTCGATGTAAAGTGCTAGACAGCTCATGTTTCGCCAAGCAACACGCTCGTTCAAAAAATCTGACTCAGTACTTTTGAAGTCATCTTGACACAGCCAACGCAGTTGGAAGGAAAACAATCAATGTACTTTGGTCATTATCACATCATCAGCATTAACTCTGAAGTAAGTTGGCTTTGTAAACAGAGCAAAGAAAAATAAACGAAACAAGGAGGACAAAATGAGAGAACAGATATTTCTCGTCGGAGAAACCGAAACAAAGAAATAAGGCGCGCAGCTACAGCCGCAACGTGAGTTCGCGATGGCGGTACTCGTCTCTGGCATTCAGCTGGGGGTTCTTCATCGCAATATGCAGAGCTTCTAACGTCAACAGCTTCCACTTGTCGTTAGCGGAATCAACTATCTTGGCGTCAATGTCTGTAGGGGCAAGACCACATTCGATGAAATGGCTCCCAACCCGCGCTAAAGGTTCCCTGTGTTCTCCGAGTCGTGTCGGTAGATGGCGGCAGGTTTGGCCAACATAGCTGGCGTTACAGCAAGGACAGTCTATTTGGTTCACGACATGACTCTTCAGCTCTGAAGGGAACGGTGAATTTATGACAGCAAACGCAAGCAAGAAGCAAGAAAACGACAAAAAAGCTGCTCTAATATAATGAAATAATTTTAAGAAAAGTTAAAATCAGCCTTGAAAAAAAAGAATTTATCTGTGGCGGATTGAATACTACGGCCAGGAGATTAGGAGAACCCTGTCATCGTATCTGCACTACGAGCCCTTGACGAATTCTTAACACTACCAACATAGATTAATAAATTGCCAATGCGATGCAGCGATAATGGCATCAAATACAAATAGACACAATTTTGCAGGTAATAATTGGGAATATATCAAACTTGGCAACCACATTAACTTTGCATGTAATTGTGCCAGTCGGTCATATTCGGAAGTTTGACCTTGAGAGAAGCAAAAAACACTTGATTTTGGAGTGAAATTTAATTTTTCAAAATTTCGAATGGAACCTGTCATGCACGATTTTCTCGCGATAACTGAAAATCAGAAAAGAGAAGTCAGAACGATCGAGTAACAATCGCGGGAAAGTTACTAAATAAAACAGTGGGAAATTGCTATTCGCAATTTCTGTCACAATAGAACAAGAGTAGAGCTGTCCCATCTAAAACAGAGACGAGAGCATTCCCACGAACTGGATTGTTGTGATTGGAGTACTATTATTGACTGGACCAGAGTGAACCTTCGGTGGAAAGGTGGACAGCTAGAGTGTCCCAATGGTTCACGAGAACTTACAGTCTAGAGTAAAAACTTGTTCTTGTTATTAAAACTGACTAACATTAAACTCATTTTAGTTACTTTATTAATTCTTGAGTTGCTTACCGACTTATTTACTTCCTGGTTCTTGAGCGTGCTACAATGTGAGTACTTAATTTAAATTCCTAGAGTGTGTTTTATAATTGTTATGTTGAGGTAAGGCGAGTTTTAGGTTGATCCATCTGAAATGGATCAAAGTTCCACTGTCTAATAAAAAGTAACTTAACGGATTGTTCCAACCCGGTTTTTAACGGCGTTCATGTATTTTGGGTATCTAGAGACCTAAGTATGGGGACGTTTCTAATTCTAGAGTGGGGGGATATTTTAGTAGTAGCTTTTAAGCTGTAACGGGTCGTAGTCTCATGTCACAAACGAACCGAACTGGCTCCGACCGTTCTTGAGGTAGAAAAACACAAGAGATGGTGTCCCTGACCCTTGAGCCAGTGGTTATAGGGCCTATTTTCCTTAAGCCTCATGTGTGACTGCAGTAGACGAATGTTACATAGTGTTTTTATGGCGCCCAAACACGGAATAGTGTTTTTATGGCGCTCCTGGGTGTTTACGACATCAAGACTACGGAGTCGAACCCACTTGAGACAGCTTCGGGCTGAATGCCCATTCTAGAGTACCGGCGGTACGGTTCGACAGGAACGTGCAAACCTTCCGGTTGTACCGTGATAGCTTTTTAAGAAAACTCGAGAAAATTTCCTGGTACGCTCTCCGAACGAGGCTTAGCTAACCGAGTAAAGGGGGGCAACTAGGGGGACAAAAACACGAGCAAAAAGATAAAAAGCAAAACAAAAACCAAAAAAGAATAGAAAAAGGAACAAAAACCATAAAACGAAAAAAGACAGTGACTTTGACACCAGATTAGTTGGATCAAACCTTTATATTAATTAAATAGTATACCCATACTGTTTTACAAGTTCGATCGTTTCGATCAACCTAGCAATTTAAACCAGTAAACTGAATAAAGTGCCCGAGTGTGGGGCGTTGTCAAGGGTTTTCAGATAGCTTGGAACTTAGCTGGACCAATAGGAGACTTGACTGGAAGAGGTGACCAGCCGAGTGGGAAAGTGGTTCAGGGACACTTGAGCTGAACCAATAGGAGACTTGACTGGAAGAGGTGACCAGCCGAGTGGGAAAGTGGTTCAGGGACACTTGAGCTGAACCAATAGGAGACTGGACTGGAACAGGTGACCAGTCGAGTGGGAAAGCAGCCAAGAAGGATTTGGCAATTCTCGAGTTCTCAAGTTGGGCAGAACGGGTATCGTTAAAATCCACATTACATTATAGGAGATAAGTGTAAAATAGGATAAGCGACATCCCCCGGTTTTGAGGAACGTTTTTACTTGAGCAGGCCTGGAGACAGGTCTACGGTTTTCTCTTGAGAGGTTTAGCACCCGGCGCTTAAGGTAATTTTAGGCTTAAGAAGGGGGGCTAAAAAGGGGGGAGGTTAGTAGGGGGGCTGGTTAAGTTAGAGGTTAGCGGTTGTAAATTGTAAAAAGGGGGAAATTAGAGTAACTAATTAGTCGACATCGTTGACTTAGTTACATTAGAAATTAACACGCGTTGGTAATATTAGTTGGATATCGAAATTTGAACTCGAGTTAAGGAAGGTACCCTGGTCGGATCGGTACGGGGGAACGGACATAGACAGTTTTTGTGATACCCCATAAGATCGCTAGCAGGGGGGAAGGAAACGCGTGGCAATTAGGTACAAGACATTTTTTTTCGATAGAAGGTAGACATTAGTCACCTTTGAATTTTAGGTGGGCTCATCTTTCTGTTTTTATTACTTTTTCTTGCTTAGATTTTTGTTGCATTTTGGTGAGGATTTGGGTTAAAATTTTGTACGAACAGGTGATCACAAGATACCTGCGCACAGGTTTTGGTCTCAAGTTACTTGGAACATTGAAATAGAGGTAGCCAAAAAGAGAAATAAGAAAAAGGGGGGTCAGCATTTGGCTTTTAAGAGAGGATTTTGGGAAAATTTTACTAGAGCTTGAGTGGTGGTACAAGGTGCGGCGAATCAAGAAGTCCCCATAACGAAGAGGAAAGAAGTCCCACCACCCAGACACTTGTCAACAGTCTTGGGACAGTGCCGAAGAAGTCTTAGGACAGAGCAGTCTGGGGACAGTCTCGGGACAGTACAGTCTTGGGACAGTGGTCTTGGGACAGGGTCTTGGGACAGGGTCTTGGGACAAGGGTCTTGGGACAGGGTCTTGGGACAAGGTCTTGGGACAAGGTCTTGGGACAAGGGTCTTGGGATAGGGTCTTGGGACAGGGTCTTGGGACAAGGTCTTGGGACAGGGTCTTGGGACAAGGTCTTGGGACAGGGTCTTGGGACAAGGTCTTGGGACAAGGGTCTTGGGACAGGGTCTTGGGACAGGGTCTTGGGACGGGAGTCTTGGGACAGTAGTCTTGGGACACTAGTCTTGGGACAGTAGTCTTGGGACACTAGTCTTGGGACACTAATCTTGGGACAGTAGTCTTGGGACACTAGCCTT